GGGACTCATTTCTTTAGAAGTCCACTACCAGGCATCGGCCATGAGGACCCTAGTTTTGTTATCTAGGAAGCCAGGTTTGACAGCCAATACGCGCCGCCGCCGCGCGCGCTTTTCTACCCAGATACAAACGCATTGACAGGCCGAGGCCACGCCCCCTCGCTGTGACGTGGCTGGAACTACTTAGTACGTGACTCGACACAGTAACTAACCACAGAACGGGCCTCGCGTAACGGGTCAAACGCTTCGTAAAATTAACAAGAAATTGTTTTTTCATTGGGAGCTCAGATACAGGTGTCATTACGAGACGTTTACATTATTCTTGGTACGTTATTCCACGCGAAAACGGCAGTATAAGTGCGCTTGCCATAGGGAGACATGCATAGCCATTCCAATTAAGTGTCTTTTTCTAAAGAGGAACAGGAAGTTAGAAACACTATCTCATGCTTGCACCGCAGGCTTCCTCTTATCTTCATCGAGCGCCCAATAAGAATAAAATGACCCGAAAAACTCACTGCGTCTTATGTAAGAAAGCCTGCAACCGTTCTTTGCAAGTGACAGTATAAAATAGTGCATACTAAGTATGCATATATATGTTAAAAAACGAATATATTGTTCTGGTATAGTGTCTACAGCCGTGTCGATGGGAGGAACACACCAGTGCACGCTCAAACTCTGACTCATTTTTATACTAGACTAGACTATACGGGTAGAGGAGTGCATCTAACAGTAAAAGTTTAGAGAATCATATAAAACAAAAAATAAATAAGAACAAAAACGCATTAACATCATATTTCCCCCCTAATTAATCAAAAGTCTACATAAGTCAGTGCGTTAGTGAGTTTAATGTGCACTTACCACAAAACTGCTTGAGAATGGAGCTGCACTTCTGCGCAAAAGTTACCAAGTGACTTTGGAGAGACTTTGCGCAGATGCGCACGCAAGTCCCACTGCGAATGCTCAAGATGTCCCCTCTTCCTCTTCTTTTTCCTTTGAAATAGTGGTTTCACGCGTGTTCTTCACTTGAGTCATTCATGTAGAGTCACAGGTCCATACATACACACACACACTTTCTCTTGAGCGCTCTTGGTGACGCCCACTTCACCCGACACACAGTTTGCCGCAACGATTCAAAATCTGTCTGTAGGTTGTGAATGAATAGAGTCTCAGTTAACGCCTTGACAACAGTGACTTCAGTTTCCAGGGTAAAACAATCAGTTTATTACTCCATGATGCATTGGGCACAATGAGCTCATTGTGATGTGTGCCAAAAAAATAAAAACATATATATGGGTGAGGTTTGGTGACCTGGCACAACTTTTAGACTCGCATTTTTAGAGGAAATGCGCACAGCATTGGTTAACTACATGTGGGTGGCTGCCATGACATGATAATATATTCCATCTGAAATTATTCTAAACTGATTATTATGCAGTATTTATGGAACATTAGTACTTAAAAAAAAAAAAAAAAAAAAAGTCACAGCAAGACGTTTTGGATAAACTGCAAAAAGGTGATTAAAAATGAACAAAACCCCAATATTATCTAAAAACATACATTTTAATTTAAACATTCACAAACTCAAAAAACATGTTAGTTAACTCACCAAACCCAGTTTTTTAATGGCAGCATTGTAAAGCGTGGGGTGTGTGTGAAAGAATTTGGGTGTGTATGGGAATTTAAACTGCGATACTGCCTGAAAACCTGCTCCTGCATGTTTTAAATGCTTGTTTAAATTCAAGGCACCTGACTTGACGTAATCAATAATTAATATAACACATTCCTCCGGTTTCATAGGCAAGGCTAAAGTCTAGTCCCAGACTAAAATGCACGTTTGAACTGTGTTAACTGAAAGCATCATATCTTAAAGTACATCAGTGCCATTGTTTTGTCTCAAGATGCACACCAGTAATGTTTTTCTCTAATTCATGTTTATAAAAGCTACTTAAATGTCCTAATTGAACTAAGGCCTAATCCTGGCTTAATCTAAACCCTGTCTGTGAAACCGGGCCTTGATCACCTACATTCAAATGCACTCACTACATAAAATAACACTTCCCCACATTGTGATGTCACAGCAGAAGAAAGGGAAGTCCTTCATTCTGACATGACTAATCATGCCAAAGATAGACTCGGGGGAGCAGACCAGGGGGGTATCCGATCACGTTTAAGCACAGACAGCATGCTTCATTGTGCCAGCGAGGACTTGGCAAAAAAAGCTGCATGCAAAGACAAATATTTCAAATGTGAAACTGTTTTCGAAGCATGAAAAGTATCAATAACATCCCAAAAAGGCGGATTGCCCTTCAACCACAAGACTGCACAACATCATTGTTCACATTCCAAACATCCCACGTCTGGTATCTCAGTTTGCCTGCCTTCCTGAAATGCACACGAACAGAAGGACAGTCAAAAACTGTCACGTTACAAAATCGGTTAAATAAAAGCTATGCACGCTTTCAAATAAACCGAATCTTCCCAACCTCACAAATAAGCTTCAAAAGTGTGTTTTCCCCCCAGATTTCAGTACAGATCTCATGATTAAAGGTTCAGGAATTTCCAGACACGTGAGCGGCGGTTATTTCTTCATCCAGACTTTATACGCGGCCTCGCAAAAGGTTGCACAGCCTTCTGGGCGGAAGTGATCATTTAACTCATTCCAGATGGAATCAAGCAGAAATGAAGCGTTTAAACACATCACCACACACATACACACACGAGCTTATCTGATCAAAGAGCGATTGGTGGAATCACATAGCATGGGTTTCCTGAACAAGGCACTGCCATACCAATGCCCAGCCACCCTTTACAATACTCCCAACCACACAGGAAGTGCTATAGAGAAGTAAAGAGTGTGTACGAAACTCTGAATAGCTTTATGTCCGAGTGGTGCACTCCACGCCAACTAATGGAAATTCAATGCAAATTGAAAGCTGTATCGAAATGAACCGCCAATGGCATGGGATTGGCAGACAGGAGAAAAGTCTATATTCTCACAATTATGCTTGATAGTGGCACAGAAAACGCCAATTTAAATAACTTCCTCTCTGTTGTAGCTTTCAAATCTCATTCACACTTCTGCATACTTGACATCACATTCAAGTATGAGAGTCTCAGTCAACATTTGACGTCAGTTTTCTGGATAAAACATACTTCTAAATAATTCCATGACGTATTAGGCACAATGAGCACATTGGTTTGGTGGCCTGGCATCACAATTTTAGAAATGCACACCAGCGTTGATTAGTCAACTACAGGTAGGTTGTTGATATGTATTTATATTTTCCATTATGAATTGATTCTTTTAGCATTATTATGCATGCACTTACTTAATGAGAGACTACGAAACATTCATCCATGAAAAAAACTGCAAAATGGTGAAAAAAAATGACCAAAAGTGACCAGGTACAGCATCTAAAAACATTGACTTTTCCTTTTACATTCATATAAATGCTCATAAAAACTCAAATCTTCATATACAGCTTGCTGTGTAAAATTCAAGTACGAGATGCAAGATTACTTCAGATAAAAAGTTGTTAGGGTAAAGAAATCCTTTAAGAGAAAATGAAATGATATCCTTGTGGATATCACTTCACATTTTTTAAATGTGTTTCAGCAGAACTTTCACTTCAGTGTGGTTTAGTTTAGTAAAACAGTTACACAGTAACTGAAAGCAGTATTCAGAGAAGTAGAGCCAGAGCTATTTTAAACAGCAACGTGGCTATTCAAATACTGAGGAATGTGTGAGGGTGTGTGGCGATGTGTTCTTGGCAGTGGGGTGGTTTTCATTTATACAGGAATGCTTGTGCGATCCTTGTTTTGCTGAGCCACAGTAAATAAAAGGCAAAGACAGCAGAGCAATGTGGAAGACAAGCAGACGTATACAAACTAGATTTTTACATTTTCTGATGGAAATGTGAGCGGTGGATGCCCACGCAAACCTGTCACACATACACTGCCGTTCAGAGGATACTTGACGGGATTTTGACGTTTTAAACTGAAAAAAAAAAAATTCTAAAAAATGAACACGTTAATTTTGACAGCCCTAATATATATATATATATTTCCGTTTTCATTTTAGTTAAAATTTTTGTAATTTTGTTGTGTGCTTTCGTCAATTTGTCTTTTCTATATTTCTATATAGACTTTTTTTAGTTCTAGCATCAGTATTTTTAGTACTCAAATTATTTAATTTCAGTTAGCTGCCAAGGCATCATTTCATTTTTAGTTTTTCATCTAATATTTATATTTTATTTATTTATTTTTAATAGGTTTACTAATTAACAACAACACTGAAAATGGCAGCACACCTCTCCTCAACAAGACATGATTTGAGAAATCATTCATGTCCTGGTGAAGTTATTGCGGCAACGTTCAATACTTGGGTTTATTGATTTAAACAAACCTCTATCCTTAAGTATGAGCAATAGTGAAGGGGGACGTCACACATACAATTATCCGCAGCAACAAAGTGACTGGAATAATTCTTTTTTTATGATGAGAATTACTGATTTCCAGCCAGCTGGCAGAGTACAATTCTATGCAAATGAACAGTGGTATGATATGAAGTCTACCAATGGGAGTTATGCAGTCGAGTGGTATGGCAACCTCCAGCGATTTAGTAGATGTTGCACGTGTGAAAGCCCCTTAATAGTGATGCTCACCTCAGCAAACACCCCTAAAATCCCCCCGCAAACCTGACTAAACAGACCTTCTTTTGTTTCTGACAAACAAAACTTCTTTTATTTCATACAAGGCAGGCATACTTTATCAAAAGCATGTCTTCAAGTCATATTTACTGGCTGAATTATCATAGGTACAAATATAGTTACAAATTATTTACATCAAAATAAGTGTTTCTTCAGAGCTTCTGTGCATCACTTCGGCTCTTCAAGGACATCATGTCATAAAAACGTCCACGCAATAAACCTTAAAAGTTGACGCAAGGTATTGCAGCGAGTCACTGTAAGCCGTTGGCTGGCTTGTGAGGACTGCCACAGTACCTGGATAGGGAGAACGTTGGTCGACCTCCAGGAATTGGTCTGAAGGAGTGCAGTTAAACTCCACCATCACGATTCTGAAGAAACAGAGGACTCAAACGCAGCAGAGCACGTACAGGAACACCCAACTGACTGCTCTTGAGCAGGAACTCTGGGAAACAGGAACATCCTGTACAGAGAGACCACAACGATGAAGTTAAGAGACAGTTCAAGAAAGGCTGGCTGCACATAAGTGAACCATTTCAGAACAAATTAATCAGATATCCAGTACTTCAAAGAAAAACTGACTCGCTTTGTCTCATTTATTGTTGCTCTTGTTATTCCGACTTTATTTCTTCTGTGGAAGCAGCAGTGACCAGAGGTCGTACTGCAAACAAAGCACCATAAATCATAAATGCCCCAATATACGCATGGCCAAGTTCTTTTTCACTCTTCGTTTAGGGGTAAAAAGAAGTAGTTTGAAAAATGTGAGAGCTGCAGTATACTGAAAAGACCCCGATATACTTCAAGCGAAATTGAAGAACAAACTAGCGTGATGTCATTTCAAACTAAATGAACAATAGAAATGAACCAGCAGAGGTGGGAGTAAGTCACTAAATGCAAGTCTCAAGTCAAGTCAACTCATTCTGTTGTATGGGTCAAGTCAAGTCAAGTCGCAACTTAGTCATCAAGTTATACCAAGTCGCACACAGGCTAGTTTTACACATTTTTTAACTCTGGGACTTTTATTACTTATTTAGACACAGAGGGCTGATGGGTTACAAAAATAAATAAATTAACTTGTGTGTAATAAATAAATTATCATTAAGAAGCACTTTAAATGCTCTAAAATAAAAATAAATTAAATGAACACAAGTAAACAAGAATTAATAAAACTTTTCCCATCTTGTAAAAAAAAAACTAAAAAGATATTGCATTCTAAATTAGTACTGTATGCCAAAGTTTGTATGTTCTTACTCATAATATTTTGTGTTATGGGATCAAATCACCTGCATATTTAATGGAAATTTGAAGAAAACAAATCTAATAATTTAAATGATTTAAACCCGACTATTTTTTAATACGTGGGTCGTTATAACTGACGTTCTCAACTACTTTCTATATTACTTTCTTCCGCCCGCAACATTTTTGTTTTGTCCCGCTCCCGCCTGCAAAAAGACTTTTTTTCTGTACCTCCAAATACTTTCAAGTTAGCCTACGTGTCGCCACCATACACATCAGCATAAATGCTCCTGATGAATTATTTGTTATTAACCCTCATGTGCTGTTCAAAACCCTATAACACCTGTGGTGTTCCCGGTCAAAAATGACCGGCCCATAAAAAAAAACGTATAAATCACTCATTATACCATATTTTCACCCAATCTTGGATTCAATCTTTTTGTCAACATGTTCTCTTTCAATTAGGACTGGTTTTATATTTTGACTTGCATCTGAATAATCATAGGCCTCATTTATTTGAGAGTAGGCATTTCATTTTTTGAGTAATTTTTTTTTAATTTTTTTTTAATTTTTGAAATATTAAATAAAATCTGAATTGGTATTGTTGATCACACTAGTCAACTTAAAATTTTCACCAGGAATTTTGTTTTGAAACTTTTGTTTTGTAAAAAATATGGCACATAGTCACACTTGTGGTGTTCCCGGTCAAAAATGACCGGCCCATAAAAAATAGCTTATAAGTCACTCATTATACCATATTTTCACCCAATCTTGGATTCAATCTTTTTGTCAACTTGTTCTCTTTCAATTAGGACTGGTTTTATATTTCTGTTTGCATCTGATTAATCGTGGGCCTCATTTGTCTGAGAGTAGGCATCTCATTTTTTGAGTAAAAAACAAATAATTGTGTGGTAATGTCAGATGGATAAATGTATATTAGATGCAGGTTAGGGTAGGATCAAATTTCTCTCTGTGGAAAAGAATGTGTGTAATACTCAAAAAAGTTTGTGTGTTTTAACGTGTGTGTGTCTGGGTAGCGTGTGTATAAATGTATCGATACATGCACAGGTCCAAGGGCTCAATGTTTGCAAGCACACATGCTCATATGTGTACTTGAAAATAATGAACATGCTCCTGAAAACTAAATTGTTCTGTTATTTTCAGTCTCTCCCATTCACTTTCAATGGTCAGCCATTGTGACCATTTTTGACCATGCCTACTCTTAAATAAATGAGGCCCACGATTAATCAGATGCAAACAGAAATATAAAACCAGTCCTAATTGAAAGCTATTTTTATAGGCCGGTCATTTTTGACCGGGAACACCACAATTGTAACAAGGTAACAAAACTCCCACAAAAAAATAAGAAAATTTTCACACAAAAAATGAGATTTAGTTATACGGTTTGGGAACAAAGTCACTAAGTTTCAGTCCAAAGCGATAACATTAACTAGTATTTTCGGGAAAAAGAAAATCTTCTACGGGTCAAATTGACCCGAACACCACATGAGGGTTAAAGCATTAACACACAACCCACACTGTTATAACATAAAAGCAAGCAGATCCTGCGTGCATGGTTTGGCATGACTGCGCGCAAAGTGCGCTCCCTTAATAATTCCTAAAAAGCTGACATCAGTTCATCGCGATCTCACACATCTCTGTTAATATCAATGAAGCTTTCATAATATATACACTTTGTTTGTTATAATTCGAGGATTTGCCAGCATACAGAATTCAACACTGAACAAAAAGTCCGTTTTGAGCGGTGAGGGGAGTCTATCGTAAATGCTTCTGATTGGCCATTGCGTTCCTAGAAATCATCACATATGTCTGTGATTGGCTACATCGCTCAACGCTGCAGACATGTTAGAAATAGAAATATCTGGCATGTAAATCGTTTCTATTTTGTTTTAGTTGTTCTTATTGCTTTTCTGCAACAGATGAATAAAAATGTATTAGTTTTTATGTTTTATTCATAGATATTTCTAGTTTGCGGGAGTCCAGCGAATCGTTTTATTCTCCCTCAACCCGAACACACAGAGTGAGTGCATTACCGCCCGTGCTCCCTCTTATGACGTATAAAAAAAAGCACAATAATTGATTTTTTTTTTTTTCACAAGTCATTTCAAGTAGTTAGGCACAAGTCCGAGTCAAGTCTAAAGTCACAAGGAGCAAGTCTAAAGTCAAGTCGAGTCTTTTCAGAGATCTAGTCAAGTAAGTCTCAAGTCCGGAAAATTGCGACTCGAGTCAAGTCATATGACTCGAGTCTCCCACCTCTGGGAACCAGAGAAGATTTCCATGTCCATGTCACATTTAATATTCAACTATATTATTGATCTGCCTTACTTAAGGTGGACGATGACGCAATATTCTTCTAGAAACAAACTTTGTTGTAATTTTTTCATGTTGTCACTGTGAAGCTGCTTTGACACAATCTGTATTGTTGTAAAAAGCGCTATATAAATAAAGATGACTTGACTTGAAAGAAGTTGGAGCCTCAGAGCCACACTTGTCTATTACGTAATGACCGTGGAACAGTAGTAGTTTGAAGGTGTTTATCAGCTGGAGTGAACATTTACAGAAAGTTTGCTTTTGCAAGCCGTTTCAAACTTCCGAGAGAAACTTGGTTTCAGCCTGATTTTGTTCAAAATGACGTCACACAAGTTCGTTCTTCAATTTCAGCTGAAGTATATCAACCCTTAAGAGTAGTTCAAACAACTCTAGCACTACATTTCAAGTTTTCTGAAGCCATGTGAAAGCTTTGTGTCAGGAACAGACTGAAATATAAGCGGAATATTGTTTTATGGTGATTTTTGGAGCTTTAATTTGGGTTTCACCAAACTAAGAATTAGTGTTGAGTTCGAATCCACCTTAGTTGAGTTACGTCCAATCCAAGTGTGCTGCACAAGTCCTGAAAAGTGAAGCCAAAATGTTTCGATCGTTTTCTTTGAAACTAGGACCTGCCACCATGTTTAAAAAAATTATTTCATTAAAACAGCGAAAACTAATACTAGCCTAACTAAAGTAAGTAAAAATTTCTCAAGCTTACTGAACACGTTAACGTTCGAACCGTCTATTACAAGCAAAAGGACACATAATATATAAATCAAAAAATTCAAATGAAATGAACTGTTTATTAGGCTGCTGTCAATTTAAGATCTAATGCACGGATCCAATATACTGACACATCCTGTTTTCTCCCAACTGTTTACATCCTCACTGAGACGGGCATTTTGACAACTTTGTGTGTATTTAAGTGTTTAAGCGCAATAAGACACGAAGGAGAACTTAATTCGGCATTCGCACACTGACTGATAGGCCCTTTCTGTGAGCGTAAGTGTTCGCACAGAAACTAGTCTTAGACAGCTTGCAAATATCGAAATGATTGTATAAAAAGGCAAGACTTAAAAACACATTGACTTTAATGTCAAAGCAGTACCGACCCGATCTGACCAGGACAATTCCCTCAACTGTCCCAAGCATATTTCACAAAATCCCTGGAAAATGTTCGAGTCCCAAAACGCTGGAGTCCGAGTCAAGTCAGAGTAAAAACGCATCTCAGTCTGTGACAAGTTCAAGTCTGCGAAAAGTTGGAGTACCCAAACTCTACTAAGAGTGTCACACTGGTTTGTGGTGGCATGAGGGTGAGGAAATTCATTTTTATGGCAACTTTTCCTTTAAAGCAACACTAAGTAAGATTTTTTACCTTAAAATAATGTTTTCAAAATCGTTTCAGTGGTTCATCAAGTTGTGACATAGTGAAATGCACTTATGCCACCGCTTTGCGGTCCTTTATCTGATATAACCACGCTATGTAAGATTGCCAGATCGGGTCACGTTTCTGTAGTCTGAATGAGACCTAAGAAAACTACAGATTTGACTTGCTTTACGGCAAGCGTTACGATTGCCGATAGGTGGAGCCAGTGTTGGGAAAGTTCACTTTCTACATGAACTAGTTCAAAGTTCAGTTCACAAATTTTAAAATTAACTAGTTCAGTTCATAGTTCATACTTCACAATTTTGAACTAAGTTCACGGTTCCAAAAAATGAACTAGTTCATAGTTATTTTTTTCCATATGTTGCTGCGAGCTATTTTTTTTTTATTATTATTGCCACAGCCCATATACAACCACAGACAGCAATTCTTTTATCGGCGGGCAAAGTTTGCACAGAAATGTAAGATTTTTCCCATCCTCACCGACCTTGTCTTAAAACTGATCATACGATGCGACGCCTCCTTGATGCTTTGTCGACTACATGCTGCTTCTTGTCTTGATGACGCTTCTTGTCTTGATGACGCTTCTCGCCTTGATGACGCATGCGGCGGCCGCGGTGCGACACTGGTGGCGTGTGTTGCCAGATTGGGTGTTTTTTTCCCGCTACATATTAAGGCCTGTTACGTGTGTTTTAGCCGGGTTTTCGCCTGGAAGGCTTTAAAGAAATCTGACACCCTATTGAACGAAGTTAAACTGAGAGAGCGTGCGTTCACAGACACCAAATGAAAGCGTTCACAGTAACGTTCATCAGGCAGTAATACAGTACTTTCAGTTCACGTTCGCCCAAAATATGAATACTATCGTTCAATGAACGCGTTCAGGCACAACACTGGGTGGAGCGTACTCAACAGTAGACTACAACTACATGTAAGATACCTAGCAGCCGGGTAGCTTTTGAATTGTCATCATGATTCCAAAGCCGATGCTGGATAAACAGAGAGCATGTGCGTGCGTGCGCGTGCGTGCGTGCGTGCGACAGAGGATGTGCTAGGCTAAATTATTTACGACAAAGGTAATGGACAATTCCGCTTCCAACCTGTAGGGCGACTGCAGAGGAAAAGTTACTTGGTGTTGCTTTAAAATTAGACTTCTATGTTCAACCAGCAGAACCAGGTTCTCTCGACAGACCAGCCGTTAGCTTCTGTTCGAGCGTGACCTTACCTTCCAGGTCAGACGCCAACATATTCTTGAGGCTAGGGATGGAATGGTAGACCAGGAAGCAGGCCAGCATGTTGACATCAGTATCGTTGTTCATTGGCTGTCTTCTCAAGTACGCGTGCAGAACACGACTGTTATCTGTTTGCAACGAATAACAGTGTTGTTGGATTAATAGTTAAAAAAATTAAAAATAATCAAGCTTCATGAAACAGTTATATGTGCATTTGAATAGATATTAATATAAGTAAAAAAAACAAGATGTCTAGTGTGGCTTTACCTTTATACTCCCTAAATAAATGACAAAGAAATTCCCAGGCCATAATTCAGACATCCCTCACCCCCTCCAATTTCTTTTATTATATTTATTTTATAATAAATAATATATTTTAATAATTTTGTATTTAAATAATAAATATAAATGAATACATTTATATCAATGAATAAGAATTATAAAATAAATACATTAATAATAATAATTAACTATTTTGTACAAATAAAATGAAAGTTCGTTTTTGATCATTGTGCATTTTACCATTGACAATTAAGCAAATGTCACTCTTTAATTCTCTTTAAAGTAATGCAAAAAAATCTAGTTATCTATTTATTAATAATATCCATTGCTCAATTAAAATCAGCCAGTACAATAAATACTGATAATGATATTGAAATTGAAAGATATTAAATACATTTAGATTTTTTTCAGTATAATAATGAGTATAGGGGAGAACAGTGTAAAAAAAACCCTGAATGGTACTAAAATTAGACATTTCTTTACACAAAATGTAATATATTTTTTTCCTTATGATCTAGAAATATGATCTAGAGATGTTCTTGACAGCTTTCATGACATTCACCTTATTAGCCTTTAAGTTACCAACCCTGCAGAGCATACATGACTATAGCCTTTCACACTAGCTGAAGGTGTTGATCAAAACACCAAATAAATGCAAGTCCTAACCGCTGACTAGAGGAGCTGACCCAGAATCTCTAAAATAGAAATCTTAGAGAGCATATCTGATGCAGCTGATGCTCACCACAGAGCCAGTGGTCCAGGGCTCGATCCGCTGAGCTCTTCATGACGGGCAGGAACTCAGAGTTGAGCAGAAGGCCACGGGTCTGACGGTGTGTGTCTCTGAGCCGCTGCTGAAGGACTCTGCTCTCACACAGCTCTAACACCAGCTTCATCTGCCACAGACTGAACGTCTCACACAGATCGCCCTGCTCCAGAGTCCGCACGGCCTACAGAGATAATGATCACACACACACACACGTATCACACAGAACGTGTTTTAGCTGTTAAAAACAAGGGGTCGAACGACTTCACATTTTTTAAAGTCGACATTTCATGTATTTTTAATGCCATCTTTACTGTAGCTGACCTGGTCAATAGAGATGTGTGTTGGGAGCATCTCTGGGTTTTCCTGTGTCACACATTCATACAGAATTGCTGACAATAAGGCCACTGTCTCCTGCTTCTGTAGAAACAAGACAGCATGTGTAAACTATAGCAACCAGCAACACAACCCATATATGAACTTTCACTTATTTACTAACTTCATGCCTATGAAGTGCATCTGTGGCATGAAGTGGATTACTACAGAAAGTTCATGTGTTTATTGTAATCCACATAAGGGAAGCGTAGCAGCAATAGGGTAATATTTACTCTTATGTTTACTGTACTCATTAATATTTATAGCTAGTGTAGGCAGCATTTTAAGGCATCATAAGATATGAAATAAATTACTCATTTTAGATAGTATTTTAAAGTAGCTCACATAAATCCTTCACAAAGGCAAACTCATATTGAGCAACAATAAGTTTAATGAGAAAAATGATCCAAGAAATGTAAATTATAAATTTATTATTCATCTAATATTAAGAAGTATCTAATTAAAAAATATATTATTTTACCCCAAATATGTATGATATGAATATTGCTTTGTAATTAGAATATCATGCCATTAGTTCAGCATCAAGTTAATGTCAAACTGTTGATAAGTCTCTGGTGTGGAGTGCTATAAATGTGAGCGGGTAACACTATTGTACTTGCAATGTCACTTATAGTCAGTAGAATGTCTGTTGAGGAGCATCAGAATAAAGTGTTAGCAGATATTAAACAGAGTCTACTAATACTCTCAATGACTGATAGTTGACTTGACATGTAGTTAGAAAGGTACTTAAAGGGTTAGTTCACCCAAAAATGAAAATGATGTCATTAATGACTCTCCCTCATGTCGTCCCAAGCCCGTAAGACCTCCGTTCATCTTCAGAACACAGTTTAAGATATTTTAGATTTAGTCCGAAAGCTTTCTGTCTCTCCATTGTAAATGTATGTACGGTATACTGTCCTTGTCCAGAAAGGAAATAAAGACATCATCAAAGTAGTCCATGTGACATCAGTGGGTTAGTTAGAATGTGTTGAAGCATCGAAAATACATTTTGGTCCAAAAATAACAAAAACTACGACTTTATTCAGCATTGTATTGTCTTCCGGTTCTGTTGTGGATCCGCGTTCAGTGCCGCCGCTGACGTAAGACGCTGCTGACGTGTGTCTGGTGTGTGTGTGTGTGTGTGTGTGTGTGTGAGTGTGTGTGTATGTATTCGGGTTCTGTTGTGGATCCGCGTTCAGTGCCGCTGCTGACGTAAGACGCTGCTGACGTGTGTCTGGTGTGTGTGTGTGTGTGTGTGTGTATTCTGGTTCTGTTGTGGATCCGCGTTCAGTGCCGCTGCTGACGTAAGACGCTGCTGACGTGTGTCTGGTGTGTGTGTGTGTGTGTGTGTGTGTGTATTCGGGTTCTGTTGTGGATCCGCGTTCAGTGCCGCCGCTGATGTGTGTCTGGTGCGCCCGAGCTTCGTTTACAGTCTGAGGGAGACGCACGCTGGAAACTAAACAATCTTCGCAAACATGTCTAAGGATTTCCACACAGAGGAAGACTTGCAGTTTTTGCCCAGCCATATTTATTTGAACCCGAATACACACACACACCAGACACACGTCAGCAGCGTCTTACGTCAGCAGCGGCACTGAACGCGAAACACAACTATTCAGAACCGGAAGACAATACAATGCTGAATAAAGTCGTAGTTTTTGTTATTTTTGGACCAAAATGTATTTTCGATGCTTCAAAACACTCTAACTAACCCACTGATGTCACATGGACTACTTTGATGATGTCTTTATCTCCTTTCTGGACAAGGACAGTATACCGTACATACATTTACAATGGAGGGACAGAAAGCTCTCGGACTAAATCTAAAATATCTTAAACTGTGTTCTGAAGATGAACGGAGGTCTTACGGGCTTGGAACGACATGAGGGAGAGTCATTAATGACATCATTTTCATTTTTGGGTGAACTAACCCTGTAAGGTTAGTAGAATATCTAAAGCAGACTATCTAAATAAAATGTAACTGCAGAGCGAACCCAATCAGTCACTTCTGAGGGTTCATGACGGTTAGGATGCTGCCTTAAAAGTTAGATAGCTAAGTAAGCTGCAGCAGCTCATTTCTGAGACTCCAGAAGTCATTTCACATACAGTGGGAAAGAAATGACAATAAACCTACTTTGATGTATTACAGTTATACTTTTGAAGCTGAAAGTTTTTGTTATTTGTCCTGCGCCTGCTGAGCTTCCATTATTTACTATAAACACATTTCCCGTTTGTTTATACACAATGAAGGGGCGAGTTGCATTATTGCATGTTGTATTTGCCAACATACTAGATGGTGTCCAGATGTCCATGGGTTCAATGGAGTGTGTGTATGATTTTTTTGATTATTTTTTTATCCTGTTCAAAAATGTGTTTTATTAAACATGTAAAGTTAACTCTAGTCACTGTATGCCTTACCAACATAATTCCTGTTTTTTCTCCATATATACAATCCCTTTCAAGTATCATTGCACATACTGTATCATGTAAAAGTTATCAGGTGACCGACTTCACATGGTCATGGCAGGACAAGTGATTTTATCACACTGGTCTCATATTCAGTCATTTTTTATTTTAACGTTTCTCCTGGTGTAATGCTTCACCACTTTCATTCTATGTGCATTGCTCGGGAAAGCAAACTCAAGGATAAGAAAGGTGGCAGCTTTAAAATGTAAATTTCTAGTGGAAGTTATCATAAGGGAATATGATATAGTTATATAGTAATACTCCATATAGTTGCTTTTTTTAAATTCATGGATATTTATGGATGTCTTAATTTATTTGCTTTCGAATATTAAACCATTGAGCTTTTATTTTGAAGGAAATTTTGGGTTGTATTATTTTGATTGTCATTCCAATTTGGGAAGATTGTTGGGGCGTAAGCCACCTAAACTCAGTGCTCACCAGATCATGAGCTGTTCATGTGTAAAGGAATGCAATGCTGCATTTCAAGCACTGAAACTAGAAACTGCAAATCACACAAATGAACTATTTTGGATCCAAAACATCCATTTTCCTCAAAACTTGACAAGTTTCCATCCCATATTGCTCTTCACATATTTTTGCTTATTTATGAAAACTAAGGGAGACCTAAATAATTTTTCAACAACATGAGAAGGATGCTGGCGATAAAACGTATAACAGAACCCAGAACATTCCTTTCAGATAAAAATGAGCCATAATAATCCTCTAAAACTCCATAAACATAAAAACCAAAGGCTGTTCTACTAAACACAGACGTGGAAACTCATCATCTGTCATGAAAAGAAAATATTAATTACTACACAATTGCATCCTGCAGTGTGTAAATTGAGGCCTTTCACTTTACCTAAACAGTTTTTAAAAGATCAAGTCGTCTCAGTAGAGTGAAATTTTGTCTCTGACAGCTATTTAGTATCCACATCTCTTTCCTTACGAATGCAAAAGCTCTGTAGGGACATGAACACTTTTTTTCCGACTGCACAAACCAAGCAGTTTCCCTTAAAACAACACGTTTATGGTCTCACATGCTTCATGTTTTCCGAGGCTCTGCAGAAGTACTCGGCGAAGGAGACCAAAGCAGCGTCTGAGGTGAAGGTTGAGATGGCCTCGGGCTGCGTAGGAGACGGACAAAAGAGTGGGAGGGAAGGGAAAATTAGCTCATTGACATGAAAAATATTCTTTGCACGAGTTTGAAAGAACACATAATGCTGCATTATTCCAATTAGGAACACAAGACCTCAACAAACATCCGGAGATATCTTTATGCCTTTTTCCTCTGTATTTGCATGAACGGTTTAATGCTTGAATTATTTTACAGCTTTACAAACAGACAAATGACAGAGTAAATATTGACAGACATTGGCCAAACCAGTTTGTGGACAGTAGTTTGATCAGGCACACAGACCGACCTTAAAAGTGCGAACTTCAGCGCTTCTATTGTTGAGGTTTGGGGCCAGTAAACTCTTCCAACCTTGAGGGTCGTCCTTGTACGGGAGCTGTCCGGCACGCAGCTTCACGTAGAGAATGCCGTCTCTGGATAAGATGGATCTAGAAAACAGAATGTACTCAATCTACTCTGTTTTTCTTCACAATTACCTTAAGTTCCGTTCCAAAACCCAGTGAGCTGGCTTGCTCTCTTCATAGGGAGCTGCCTTCTAAAGCAGCATACTAACTGAAACCGAACTTAAAGGGTTAGTTCACCCAAAAATGAAAATTATCCCATAATTTACTCACCTTTCAGCCACACACAATCAGAGTTATATTAAAAATATCCTGACAAATAGAGCTGATGTTGAGTAGTTTGAGATGTCAGCATTTAATGAAGCATAAAACTGCACTACCGTTCAAAAGTTTGGGGCCTGTGCGATTTTTTAATATTTTTTGAGTATTTCAAAATTCTCACCAAGGCTGCATTTACTTAACCAAAAACACAGTAAAAACAGAATATATTGCAATATTATTGCAATTTAAAAGAACTGTTTACTATTTTAATATTTTGTCAAATGTAATTTATTCCTGTGATCAAAGCTGAATTTTCAGCATCATTACTCCAGTCTTCAGTGTCACATGATCCTTCAGAAATCACTTTGATATGATGATTTGTTGCTCAAGAAACATTTCTGATTATTATCAATGTGAAAACGGTTGTGCTGCTTCATATTTTTGTGCAAACCGTGATACATTTTTTTCAAGATTCTTTAATGAAAAGACAGCATTTATTTGAAATAGAAGCATTTATTTGTAACATTATAAATGTCTTTACTGTCACTTTTGATCAATTAAATGCATCCGTGCTGAATAAAAGTATTAAATTCTAATAAAATTTAATTTCTATTAAATTGTCATTTAAAAATGCGTATATATGCACAAATTCTGGGTAAAAGAGTTGAATTTGGTTCATCTATTTATATTAATACTTCCATACTGAGCAAAATAAATATGAACATTTCAGCATCTTGGATGAACTTTTTTTTTTTTCACTGAGCTTGTCGCAGTGCATTCTGGGATTGCTTTATTTTAAAGAACACGTGATGCTCATTAGATTGCAAAAAAAAGATTGCTGCCCAGTGCCCACCTTTTGGGAAAGTCTTTGCATCTGGACTTTGGCTACGATGCCTCAAAATACTGTCTAGATAGGAAGCTCAGATTTTGGAACAAAGCTTAAAGCTGTTTAGTTTGACTCAAATCTCTGTTAATCTACATGTAGACTTACTGCAGATGATGGGTTCCTTTACTGATGTCGATGTTTAGCTCCCAATATCTTGGACCTTTTACCTTAATCTGGATGCAAAGAGAAAAAAATGTAAGGTCAGATTTAGGTAGTTCATATGAGCTATACTTGGAAGTGGAAGTTTAATTTGTTACCCGTTTTAGAAGGTGAAGCTCAGGCAGCATGGTGGGAGCCATCAACTCCACGGTTGTCTCCTCGTACCACTGTGTCTCCTATTAAACATATACCACATGCATGCAAAAACAGATTAGAAAGCTAACGCCTTGCACTACGATGTATACGTCTGCTATGCGTGACTCAATGCCTGCGTGAGCAAATATGTCTTTGTAATTGCTGTGAACAGCTGGTTCTCTTCCTTTGGCTGGCGTCATTTAATTGAAAAGATGAGTCCTCTCCAAGCAGCAGGAGAGACACGGTCAGACGCCACGGTCAACCTTCAACAGTCCTTCGCCATGTTTATCACCCAAGAATCTCTTTGATGTGGCCTAACGGCTTCACATGCAACGGGACGGCTAGATGTTGAGCAACCAGCTAATTATATGCAGTCTTAAACGACACATGGCATTCAAGTTTATTTACTGAAGAAAAAAATTATTTGAATAAAGAAATGGGATCATGAAACATGTCAGATCTGAGCGTGTGTTTGCAGTGCACTTTTAAGGAGGCTTTTTCACCTGGAAATGGAGGTTGAAGGTTAAATTCATCCTTAATGATATAATCTAAACTATAAAGTGGCGCAGTACATACCTTGTAGGTGACATCTAGCAGAGCGTAGCAGGGTTTGAGAGTGTCCACGTCTACAGGCACCAGCAGACGAGGCTCTGCTGCGAGGACAGCCAGGTGGCGTAACGCCTGGAGGTGATACCTTCAAAGAAGAACAGGAACATATGTTTAGGAGAAACCAAAAAAAGCTGATTTATACTTTCAACCAGTCACTCCTACTAGACACTTTGGCCAGTTGAATTTTATTTATAGGCTAATATACACATTTATCAATTGTAGTCTTTTAAAAAGGCATTTGAAATAATAAACTAAGTGCGATGTAGTGTTGTCAAAATATAGATTTTTCGATACTGAAATATCTGAAACACTTCCAATACTCATTTTCCACATAATAGATACATTATACCAGCAGCTCTTTCTCTCTCTCTCTCTCTCTCTCTCTCTCTCTCTCTCTCTCTCTCTCTCTCTCTCATGAATCTCTCCGACAGCGAGTTACACACAAACCCGCCTCTCCTCACTCACGCGTTTAATTTGCTCTGGGTGAGTATTGTTGGTGTTAGAGGTCTTGAATTTCGGATTGGGATTGCGCATTATTTTACTAATTCCCACAGATTTTGTTCTCACACACAAAGCCGCATCTCAGTACTAAATAGAGTTATCTTCGCTGCTTATTGCGCTTAAACAGTAAAATACACACACAATAATATACAAATGTGAGTATTCACGTAAATGCAGTCAGTTATGTTTCAAGTGAACGTAAACAGTTGAGAAAGAAAATGCATGTGTAACACAATAATGGATCCTTGCGTCAGGTCTTAAAGTGACAGCAGCCTAATAAACCTGCTGCCAAATTATGAGATAATATTAAAAATATCTATATGTTTTTCTACATGGTATAGATGACAAAATTGTGCCCAGTGAAAATTCTGAGAGGCGAGTAACTTTGGAAAACCACTAGCCAGAGTGGCTGGTGAGCAAAGTTAATGTTAAGCCCTGGTCCCAACCTAAAACCCAAACCCATCCAGGGTATCCTGACACACAGCCGGTTGTAGTTAGCAACTCGGGAGTACACGTTTCAGTTACTATCAAGACAAAGGATTACGGTCATCTCTATTTTTTGTGGAAGTGGCAGAAATGAAATGCAGTCTCTAACCAGAAAATTTGTGTAATTTTTTTGCTGCATACTATGCTTACTTCATGTGCATACTATAACACTATATAGTAGGTGAAAAACAGTATGTGAGCTGAGTAGTATGTCCGAATTCATAGTATTCATAAAGCAGTAGGCAAAAAGTATCTGAATGACCTACTACTTCCAGTAAGACTCTGAAGTGCGTATCACTTTACTATCCTCATGATGCCATTTGAAAGGATTTGTGAATGGCATTGAAGCGACGAATCTGATGTTGTAGGTCACATTACAACATGGCAGATGCAGAGCATTCATTCATACTAGACGCATTCATATTATATAGCACGTACTTTCGGTCGTGAAATCGTATGTGATTTGGGACGCACCTTAGACGTATAGTTTTATTTCAAACTCAAAATTATTTTTGTAAAAACTGTGCTTTTGCTCTTTCATTAAAATAAATGGCACTTGCTTTGTCATTTTGTCATCTAATGCAAAGACATTCACACATTTTTAAGTATAATACTTTTTTGGCCTGATGTATAAAATGACACGTTGAACCATGTAGCTACAGGCAATTAAAACAAACACATTCACGATTCTGGGTAACTCGTCTCATTTACAGTAAAATTGAAAGTGGTTTTCCTCAGAAGTGAAGACAATACAGACATATTTTCTCACTGTGACGTGTGTGTGTGTGTGTTAGCAACTGATGTGCATCTACCTGTTGTCTGTGCTGTGAGCAGGAAAATGAGGATAAAGTGCACAAAGGAGGGCAGCAATGGCCGAGTTGGAGGTGCTGAGGGTGTACCTGTGGAAAAAAGTATGTGAGAAAAATTTCAATCTTGCTTAGGTTTTTGACTGACATCACATTACCAGCTGAGTGAGGGAAACGTAAATCAGCGAACAATGCATGTGAACTGACATTGGAAAATTAGCGCTAAACAAACAATGGACACACATGCTGCATATTCAATTGTGCCAGGAGGCAATATTTCAGAGTGCATGTGACACACGCAATTGTGTTGCGAGGGGGAAATTGGTCATCCATTGTTCACCGGTACTATTTATGCTCTTTCAAAGGCCTCACTTAAAAAATAATGGCCGAGTTGAAGAGTGCACTTGAACAGGTTCTGACAGGACGAGAGGCTCTTACTGTGCCTTTCATTGACCTGGTTAGAGGTCAAATTATTTTGCTTTTAAAGTGCTCAAGAGCCCGTGTACCGGCCAACCAGACAACCTGCTGCGCACTGCATCACACACACACGTTTCCATACATTTGTTATATGGCATTTTTTTAATATCTACAGCAGAATGAATGTAGGGACGCATCTGGCATTTTCTGGCATTTTTGTATCTTCCACATTTAAACTTGGTGCATGAAGAAGCATTATTGCAAATTTGACGTCAATGATGATCCTCGTGCATCGTGTGACCGAATGTAACTGAATATGTAGAAGTGTGAATGACATGAGGATGCGTAAATGATGGCAAAATTCATTTTTGGAAACTTCCTTTAATTCACTATTTAGCAAAGAATAAAATGTGGGGTCCAAGGACATAAAGAAGCCATTTCGTGACAGAGGAAGTATTATGATAAAAAGCTATTATCGTACTTTTAAAGTCAGAGGACAAAAATACAATAGTGTTTTATCTGCGGTTATAAATAGCATGAAATTTAGCTGACATGTTCTCATGCTTTGCTTGGCCAAATACCAACAACCTTTGTCCTGAGAAATAATTCATGCCTGTGTGGGAGGAAAGTTTAATATAGTGCTGCAGGAATGAGCCCTTAAACCCAGACACTTCCGGTTCCATCAAGCGAATGGGTTTTTTGAATGGGTTCTAGAGAAAGGCTAAATTGGACTACAGATGTTGCCGGGGACATTAAACGCCATTATGCTGAACAGATAAACTCATCTATTCAATAGTCCACTTTTACAGCCTAGTTGTGTTTGTACTCTTGCTCTTGAAAACTATTCAAACCCAAACTTTACAACTTTTATTCCCGGTTTTACAGATAATGCTCAAGTCTAATCCCAGACTAAAATATATGTTTGAGCTGAACTGTTTTAACTGAAAGCAACTTGCACTGACAGATCTTCAAATATGTCAGAGCCATTGTTTTGTCTCAAGATGCACACCAGTAATATTTTTTTTCTAAAGCACGTTTAAAAAAAAAAAAGCTACTTAAATGTCCTAATTGAACTAAGGCCCAATCCTGGCTTAATTAAAACCTGTCCGTGAAACCAGGCTGTAGATTTTAAACGAAGATTGAAAGAGTTGTTGGAAGATTATGTTGAATGTTGAAGTCATGTGACCATGGTGTCGTTCGAAACTTAAGCTTTTTACTTCTGGTAACTGTATTTAGGCTTCAAAATTCATAAAAGTTGTGAAAATTATGTTGATGAACAAAACGTGTAAGAATAATCAACTTTTGTCAGTTACTGGCTTTTGGATTATAACTCAAAATAAGCTTGAATGAAAAATATCAGGGTTATGATAAATGATGTTGGTAGAGCAATCATATCAAACTCAACCAACCTCCCTCCACCCAAGAAGAGCAGGCCCAGGGCCATGTGATGGGCCATGTGGAAGCCATAGTTCATCTCGCCAAAGGTGCGTTTGTGGAGGAAGCGGCACAGCTGCAGCACTTTCAAGTTCCCTGAACCGGCCATGACCATAGAAACCGCCAAGAGGACCATGCTCAAGCACGTCTGCAGGTTATACTGCCCTGTCTGGAGGATACGGAAAGTTGTGTGAACTTTGAGATTTTTGATGACATCAGGATGAACACCACTGATGCCAGTAAATACTTACCACTGTAGCCGTAGAGGTCGTCAGACACTGCATGAAATTTCGGGCAAATTTGTACTAAAGGAGAAAGAAAACGCTTAGAATATTCAGAGAACATTCAGAAAAACTTTCACAAATCTGTGAGGAGGAAGTAAATGTCCTCTTACTAAGCAGTCAAAAGCATCTGAATTTGCAGACCCAGCAAACCGGAATCCCACGGCCAGGCAGCCTCCAGCAATTATATAGTCATGAGCTTGACTGTGGAAACAGTGACAACTTTATTTCACTCATCAAAGGAAGAAAAGCTCTCAGATTGTCAATGGAAATTCAAGTCAGACATGAGGAACATTATTGAAAACACCTCCAGATGAATGAGAAACAGTCTGTGGGCATAAGGATCTCCTACAAATCACACCAGACGATAAAAACAAATCAGTCAGAATCGGATGCTACTCACACTAAGGTCTCCATGTTAAGATCCTCAGAGACGGACGTCTGCTCCTGGTTTCCAATGTTTTCCTTGATGATCTGAAAACATGCATTTGTTTAGCTTTAATCGTATTAAAAGGGCCTGACACAGTCTACATGACAACATCACGTCATCTCTATTCACTAACAATGACCAATGCTAGCTCAATGCTCGGAGCCAGCAACAGTAAAAGGGAAGACGTTTTGTATTTATTTAAAGTTTTATCCATTTGTGGTTTCAGTAAATGTTCAAGAAAGAAAATGTAACTTTAAGAAATTTAAGGTCAAAGATTTTCCATTGACGTGCATTGCTAGAATGTTCAGCATTCCAACATTCCAAAAACTAACCATCAGGGATGATGTCATCAATATTTGAATACTGAATTGTGATTGGCATTTTCTTTTTCGCATGTAAAAATAAGAAAATAAAAGCAACTAGATTGACAGAAACAGACAGTTTTGTACAAAACACTCTCAGGCCGTGTGTCCACCAAAGCGTTTTTTCACGCGCCTGGCGTATGTTTTCAATTGTTTTCAATGGGAGCGCCGCGTTTTTAGAACGCCATGAGCGTAACGAGGCGCTGAACGCTTTTTTCACGCTGAAGCGCAGAGAGCTCGGCGTTTTTACAGGTCGCCGAGAGTTGAAGAATGTTCAACTTTGGGTAAAACGCAGCGCTCATCACTGTCACTTTTTACCCAGCCGTCCAATCACAGTGGAGGAGGGGCGGGACTAACACCACACCGACCAACTGTCACAACATTCTTTCTGTACAACGACATCAACATGCACGGCTAACCGAACAAAATGGATGAAAAATACATTTTTAGTATGAAACAAATTATCTGCAAAATCAGTTACAAGTAAACTGTGCTGCGGATATTCTGTATCATAGCAACGAAACGTCTCAACGGAAAATACGCTGCACTGCCAAAACGCTCTCAAGGGCCCACAGCTAGGCGTCTTCAGCAGAGCGTCTAGCGTTTTTAGCTAGCAAAAAAAAACGCTTTGGTGGACACACGGCCTCAGAGTTCAGGCTGCAGGACTTCTGGGTGATTTTCTAAAGCAGATACTAGAATACAATTCTAAACAAACTGGATAAACTGCAACAGCTGCAGCATGGTAAATTTACCTCACTATTATTATGCATTAATACATGATGATTAACTAACTATATTCTTCTATGTACATTTCTGAAATGCACTTTCTGTAAAGCTGCTTTGAAACAATATGTATTGTGAAAAGCACTATACAAATAAATTTGAATTGAATTGAATATAAGACACACTTTGAAACATCTCAATAACCTTCCTCTCCCTCGTCTCTTGCTCAATGACCTCTACACCACCATTACGGCTGAAGTGACCAAACAGTTCTGCTTTTCACAACACAAGTGTTGCTAAATATTTGACCAACCTATGAACTTAACAGAGAATAGGGACGTAAAAACATGATGTTGGATCAGTCCCTGCAGTTTGTTAGAGCTCTAACATACCTGAGGCACATTACTGGTCACCCAATCAGCATTGGGAACGATCTCGTCCCACATGATAAGACATCTGGCCAGCGTCTGTACAGAGAACAAAGACAAAGCTACTAAACACAAAGAGCTTGCAATGGATAAACATTTTACGCTGAATTGTCAAAAAGGAAATATTTGTACATCCCTTTCTTCAGAAGCATTCATGTTTATTGGTTAAATCCTGTATGGCTCTGTTTCAAAACCTAGTGAGCTAGCTTGCCTACTTGCCAGATGCCTTCTAAGGGGCTGATCACACAAAGCAGTTTTGCATTTAAAATGTGAGAATGGAATAAAAACAAAGTTTATTAAAAGTTGACCTTTTTAACTTAGACAACAGATGCAAGCGCAAAGGCCAAAAGTCAAACTTGATTTAGGGCTTGATTTTTTATATTATCAATCAAATTCACTTATATTTTCCACATTTCAATGCAAAAATAAAACAAAAAATATTTGCGAGTTTGGCAAAAGCATGTTGCTAAGTTGCTAAGTTGCAGAAATGTTAATAAGAATAATTTTACAACGTGGAGGCAAGCTTTAAAAATGTTTGTGAATGTGCAAGACTTCCGATTCATTAGCAGTTATAGATAAATAACAATAATAACAAAGTGCAGTAAATGGTCAAACTATTTGCGCTAAACCAGATTATAATTAACATAATGTGGTAAGAAATAGCAGTTTGTGATATCAAGCAACATAACCCGCTGTTTTGTACAGCTAGAAATAACTGAAAGCGGATGATGCCAGACACAATAAAGTTACAAATGACCACGCCGCTCTTACGTTAAAAATAAGGTGGATAAACTAAATAAAACGCAAATTCTAGGTAGAAAAAAATTATTTATAATAAGATCATTTTTATTGATGCCATTACAGTATAAACGACCATCTGGGATGCTGTTTTCACAATGCATTATAGGATTGACTTCTCAGCAAAGAATAAAGCGATAATCCTATTGAATTTGGTCAAAATAAGGTAAGAAGGGCATCATAAACTACTACCTCTAGGAAGTCTATGAAGGCAGCATTAAAGTCCCCCTGTAGTCTGTAATTTTATCCCTTAAAACTCATATTTGATCACCAAAATTACATATTTAAATGTTTTTTTTCCTGTGAAATAAAATAATAAAATTCTTCATGCCTTAAAATAGCTTGAATGTAACACCCTTGGGCTTCATTTAGTATACGATGAATCATGAATATGCCCTGCCTCCACTCACGCCAGCTCAGAGATCCACTCGGTCAACTTTACTGTAACGCTGCACAATGGCAAGTGGAAATACTGGTTTAATTCAGCCATATATGTTGAACCAGGAACTGATTCAGAAGAAGTGCAAGAGGCTTGCTACAAGTCAATGTATCAGAATGGTAATGCGTTTTTTGGATCGCTCTCTACAACGTCAGACACATAACGGTAATTAATATGATTAGCCTTTGGCTTGACTACGTTATCAAACAGCTAATAAAGTGTTGCTAATGTTACACAAACCATGTTCCTGTTCACCATCTCAGTCTGCCTTCTAAAAATCAGCATCCTTAGAAACGCTTTGAACAGCTTAGAACGCCAGTGGAGAAAGGCATATAGTTCACAACATCGTAATATACAGCATATTTAAAATTCACCCGCTGTATTGCTAAATGTACCCAATTTTTCATATCAACAGAAAAATATACTGGGATAACCTGGCTTCTCTTGAGACTCCCCTGCTTCGCAGCAGTTAAACCCACTAAACCCGCTATATGCTAAACCCGCGCCCTTGTGACGGGATTGGTTATTTTTGACGTAAGAAACACCAGCGATTTCAAACCGTGTTTTTGAGACAGTCTTTGGTTCGCTGCAGTTGTAAGGAGAAAATACTCAGCAATGGTGTTGACTGAAGAATTTGCACATGGTTTGTCTTAAAGCTGCGGTAGGTGACTTTTGTAAAAAATATTTTTTACATATTTGTTAAAACTGTCATTATGTCCTGACAGTAGAATATGAGACAGATAATCTGTGAAAAAATCAAGCTCTTCTGGCTCCTCCCAGTGGTCCTATTGCCATTTGCAGAAAGACACGCTCCAGGTCAGAAACAACCAATCAGAGCCAGGAGGAATGTCTTAGCAGTGTCAGTCACGCTCGTGTCCGCGCTGATCACACCCCTCTCTTGCACAGCGCGAGCCGTGGTTCAAACTCAAGATTGCCGGCGTGCTGCAGCTGTGCTTATGACGGAGAAACAACCTAAACTGCCAATTCTCGAGTGACACCTGCTCATAAAACAAAGAGGTAAAAGGAAAAAGACAGATGACGATAAACAAGCCAAAAAGAAAGAATTACACAGAGCCCATTGACTCGGTGTCAAAACTCTAGCCGCATAACATGTAGATAAAATGTCACGCACTCTGCTAAGCAACAATCGAAACCTGCTAATTCACTGGCTTGTCATGTTGCTGAAATAATGTACTAGCACACCTTATCTAGCATTATATATCGCTAGAATAATTACTTACATACTGTAACGTTAGTTACCGTTATATTAACGTTATCTTACTAGCTATTTATAACTTATAGAATGAGTGCAACGTTATAAAGTTACATGTATTGCAAAATACATAATGATTTGAGGACCAAGTTTGTAGTCAAAGTATGGGCAGGCCATAGTCAATGTAAAGCATATTGTTGACGTTAAGTCCCTATTAGTGAATGTGCCATATAACTTTTTATCCGCTGTTATCGGTGGCCCTGTTTACTAGCCTGCGCGTTCACGACAGGCTCCGCTGTGGAGGACGAGCTGTGGAGGGAGGGCTGTAGCGCAGCAGAGAGCAAGGGGGTGGGACCTGTAAGTTGTGCTGTTCAAATTTTCAGGCTAAGTCAACGTTTTCTCAAAACTCCCTACTGCAGCTTTAAATCATAAAAACACCACATAGACATAAAACAACATTAAAAACTTGATTTTCACCACATGGGGTCTATAAGGTTTTGGAACAGTGCCAGAAAGGAAGTGACATTCCTGTTGGTTAACAAGCACAGCTGGCTAAAATGACCCCATATGTGGCCTAAAAAACCATCATAAAACACGAGAACCCTAAAAGTGGAAAAAAAGGTAAAAAGTGTGATTGAACCCAACGCGAGGTGTTAATGTGCAAGTCCCTGTGACCCCAGAGGCTATCGGCCCTGTAACGCTCTCTCACCCTCAGCAGCAAAAACTCAGGCTTGATGAAGTCCAGCAGGAACATGGTGTCTGGGGCTTTCAGCCAATCAGCTATAGACCTGGAGGAGTCCAGAGAGACAGGTGTGAATGTGAGAGAAAAGACGAGCTTCAATCTTCCACTGCTCTCAAGAACTGAGAACCTTTTTTACACAAAGACACAAAGCATTACATTGTATACTTAATTAAAGGAAAGGTGTGTGATTTGGGGAATTTTAAAATACTCTTATTTATCCTGGTTTATTGCACAGAGACAACTATAATTTGTAAGTTGACCTTTATTTGAGAGGCCCAACAACTTCTAGATCAACCAATGCTGCGGGACTATCTGTTTGCTCAACAATGGAAGACAAAAGAGGGCAGAAGGGGCAGTAAAATCATAATATATTTGAATAATATGTTTGCTGCTGCTAGTGTGATGTTATTGTTAACTAAAACTATTAAAAAGATATGATTTTGGTCATTAAAAGAAAGATGAAATAAAATAAAATGTAAATATTAGATGAAAACCTGAAACTTAAAAAAAAAAAAACTTTAAAATGAGAAAATGTAGCCAACTAACTGAAATAAAATAAGTTTAAGTTATGAAATGATAAAGGACAAAAACCAACACTGAAGAAGCTATATAGATATAATTAAAAGTAAATATGACATTAAAAAAAATTATGATATAAAAAACATAATTACATTCAAATGAAAATATAAAAATAAAAGCCAATTCAAAATTTTTATAAATACTGTAATAGTATATAAATAATACTAAAATAAGACTGTGCTTGTGGCACAAAAATGACACATTTCACCTTAATGCTTAATGTTAGGATGTGGTTCTTTGGTCAAATAGAAATGGAACAAAAGTAAGTGAATAAAAAAATAAAACTCACCTATTATTTGTTTTCAGGTAAATCATGGCTAGAGCAAGAGTCGCACCAGGACAGGTCACATCCACATTGATAGTGTCACCCTCCTAATAAAAAGAGTTACATTTAATCTGTGTTGCCTTTTGAATATTATTATATAATGCAGTGTATGTTCTGCATACTACAACACAATTAATTTACATTTATTAATTAAATATGATGAAACATGCAAAATATAAATAAATACAAATAGATGGCATTTCAAACATTATTCATATTTTTTTCTGGAAATAGCCCATAATTTGTGAGCATGAAAACATACTAATGGGTAATTCACACCAATAATATGAAAAAAATTTCAAATACTATGCTTTGATCATTTATATACATTTTATTTGAATCTAATTCTATGCTTTGATCATTTATATACATTTATTTGAATCTAATTCTATTTTAATTCTACTTTCCTTTCTTGTTAACTCAATTCAAATTGCATTAAATATATATATAGATGATGCATGAATATAAAGTATGCATGGAATGCAGCATACATATTGTTCACTTTGACGTCACCAGATAAATAGTAAGACAGCACATTAGCGTTGCTGAACATACCCTCGCTTTCTCGTACAATAATATAAACTGTCAAGCATGACCACATGAGAGGTGTGGCATCATTCTCAGCACACAGAAAGCTCCAGGTGAATATATGCTCTTTGATGGTAATGTCATGACTCCACCTTGATCTGATAGCTGGGAGACTTGTGTTTCTCTCTGTTGATGCCAGCATGAGTGCGCCGATGACCTCCTACCATATACTGATAGAGCTGCTCGGGCACGTTCAGGTCGGTCATCCCGATCAGGTTACTGCCGTGCTGCAGAGAAGTAGAGAGCAAACAGCTGGGTAAGCGTGGGAATAACTCCGCTTCCCATCTCTCATAGATACACACATGCTTTTTTGCTGAATGAGCTAGCAAGTTTTTTTTTTATAAATACTACTTCAAATACTAACTCCATCATCACTTTAATAGTGCACTACCAGACAGACTAAAGGCCCGTTCACACCAAGGACAATAACTACAACCAGATATTAGGTATAAATAGCCAATAATCTGTATCGCCTGATAAAAGCAATTATTTTTTGCTTTTGTTTAAAAACAGCCGATGATCAGGGCCGATTATATCATGACAATCAAAAGGGGGCGGAAAAATGTGTCAGACTGAAACTCTGTGTATTACTCTGAAATACTGTGTGTGAAGAAAATCTCTTGTGTTGAATTTCAGGCTGTCAAAGTTAACATGACAATAACAGTTAAAAAATAGCGACATAAAAGCAGGTTTTGTTGGACCCTATGAATCACCCGTAGTGTTCAAGCCAGAGCCGCCAGCTCCGTGGATTTTCCCTTCTGTCCATTTTATTGCGAAAGTCAAACAATAAATGGTGTTTTGACGCACTTAAATGTGACGAGACAGATCACTGTAGCGCCTCAGTTCAAGCAGTCTTTTCTTCTTATATAGTTCTTGTATATAAGTTATAGCATGAAAAAACATGCATGAATATTAAAAGGTATGTTGAAAGATAAACTTACCAACAACTTACCAAAATTAATCATGACTCAATCTGTGTTTCAACCGCGGAAAGACGTAAAAAAAAAAACAGCTTGTGAACTATACGTAACATTGCATTTACCTCAGGAAAGTTATTCAATGTTCACAGTTCGTTAGTTAGCAATAAAAATAAACACTAGAGAGGAGATTATTTACTGTTAGTGTATGTTTAAATACATTTGTCATGAAGACAAGTGTTTATGAAGTTATGAAGTTACCTTATGTGCAACTGAGTTGTATACAAACATTTTACAGTTTTTATATGAGTGTAATTATTATATCTGAAAATAAATAGCATTTGAGTATAATAGTTTAGGCTCTGTTGTTAATCTTAACCTCTAATATTAAAGTATTGTACCAAATTGTTCACTATATAGTTTAAAGCATTAGTTGTGAGGGATTTTTTTCCTTAAAGGGGTCATATAATGGTGCATGCACTTTTACAAGTTGATTGTACTGAAATGTGTGTTGGCAGTGTCTGTACACAACCATCATAAAATGATAAAAATCCATCCAGTGTTTTTGTTTTAATCTCCTTATATGTTTTCCCCTGCCTCAAATCAAGTCGTTTGACCGTGTGACGTCACACGGTCGGAAGCCCCTCCCACGATTGTTGATTGACAGCAGCGTTTCAACACAGACCCGCCCTCGCACATGAGGTAGCTGTCAATCATAGTCTGCGCGGACCGGCGCGGTCATTGTTGATGTGCCGGAGCACTGCCTATGAGCAGAATGGCGTCTAAGCGATTGTGGTGTTCTGCTCTTGGGTGTAATAATGAACACAGTCATTTTAATGTTCCTAAATCCGAACCGCTGAAGACGCAGTGGCTGAGTTTGTTTTCGAAGGGAATATTCCCCACGAGCAACGTCAATGCTTTCATGTTTGCGTGAATCATTTCACACACCAGACTGCTTTATAAACGAGGGACAGTATAAAGCTGGATTTGCTAAGAAGCTGCTCATGAATAAAGGATCGGTACCAGATATTCGTGTTCCTGCTGAATCTCCAGAAGAACGGAAGTGAGTGTAACGTTTTATTAAACTTTATATTAATCTTTGCAAATCGCTAGCTGCACGCTTCACAATGAATGCGTCTAAGGTTTACACTCAGGGTACATTACGGCATGTTTTCTATGTATGACGTTCTCAATATAATTCATAATCCCACGTTTATACTGAACAACGTGTTATGGTTATTGTGTTATTGTGTTACAAACGGTGTACACACAGCACAGAGAGGCGGGGTGAGCGCAGTTCATTATCATTTAAAGTCATATGCACTGAAACGGCGTGCTGAAAACAGAGCTGTTTTTGACCAGGTAAAATAAGTGTTTTCTTACAATACTAATGAGAATTTTTAATTAAAGTATATTACAAACTTTGAATTTAGACCCTAAAGAATCATATTAGCTTGTACAAAAATGGCATTATATGACCCCTTTAAGATATCGATAGAGAAATTTAGTATTGAGCATCTCCCAGATATAGTTCTAAAAATCATTCTAAATATAACAGAATAGCAAAGTCTACGCCACAACTATAATGATAACGGCACAGAGAAACAATATCATTGGAATAACTTTCAGAACAGTTTCTTTTTTCAGCTGATGAATGATAAAAACAATGACAGCCAATCAGAATCTATCCTGCTTAAAGTGGAAATAAACAGAACGATATTGTCCACTTGTGTGGTCGCTAATATAGTTATCGTTATTGGTGTGAACAAGCCTTAGGACTGCTCTACCAAACAAAGGCGCATCAATAACGTCACTCTAACATAACGTCTTTTCTATTACATAAGTTATGTGCAATACTGTACAGTATATGTTATAATAACTTTATATATATATATATAATTATTTACTTAGTTCTTACAAGTCAAACATATCCTACTGCTGCTACACTTTATGTATATATTACCTACTTATTTAACTGTCAATTCAGTTTTTACTCTTTGTACTATAGTCTATATTTATTGTCAATGTTTACTGTTGACTTTTTTTTAGTCCTCATGACTAGTTGCGTCCCAAATGACGCACTCTACACTATGTACTCAATACTCATCTGTTTAGTGTATGAACTTCATAAGGTTGTTTTTTCATTCAACATCGGAGTCTGATAACTCCTCCCACTCCGTTACGTAATTAAAGCTGCAACGGTTGAGTGAAAGAAGTGTCCAACATTCCACACGTATTTACTTTTTTTTGGTTAATTAAGTGCATCATCCAGGTATTTAAAGTGCATGTTTTCTTTTGGGAATTTGCAGTGTAAACACACTACTTGCACGATTATACTACAAAACGGCATAGAATAATGCACAAGTACACGAATTGGGACGCACCAACTGTCTACTACATGCGTCACTGTTGTTTCCTGAAGGAACTGCGTTTCGTTTTTATCCACTGCCATGCAATGCGCTTAAAATTACAACAAATTTGACTTTTTAGAAACACTAAAACACACATTGGTATGTACACACTGCACATGATCGAAGACAATAATTATACTTTGCGTTCATTTTAATTGGGGCAAATGGATCATTTAGGGATTTATCGTTTCTGTTGTTGCTGAGCATTCAAGGAACAAGATAACGTTCAGAAAATGCTTAGGAAACACACTCACCCCAAGGCAGACCATACCAAGCGCCAGTCCTGCTGCTAAAGAGTACGACTCCCTATCCGTACAGTACTCCATCTCAGGACCAGGTGGACGTCCTTGGGAATGACACACAGCTGTTACAGTCTCAGATATAAAACAATTAACTTAACACTCAATCTTGAATGGGCACAAATGAGAACAGCAGCTCATTTTATTTCTTGCCAAACCCTGAACACGCATACTAACCGATCTCTGCCAGCAACACCTCTGCATTGTGCCGGTGACCGGTGCCCTGATAAACCAGACCGATGCCGACCACAGCGGCCACTTGCACACTGTGAGGCACGTCGAGCTCGGTGGAGGTGGGCGGCAGCAGTGCGGGGATGTGGATGCTTAGCAGACGAGTGATGGACATGTCCATGGTGCCCAGTTTAGCAGCAGAAACACCCAACAACAGCCCGATACTTGTCATTTCGTGACCCTGAGTCAGAGGAGACAAGATACAACCATGTCATAATATGTTCATATGTTATAATATAGCCCAAATTATAATAATATATATTTTATTTATTACTAATATAAATATAATAAAATAAAATGTATGTATATATATATGCATGTATGTATATCTGGGAACAGTTTGTTCCAAAACCGAATGAGCACCATTTTAGGCCATCAACTCTCTCCAATCAAGCAAAGAATGAACTTGCAGTGAGCTATGCAACCTTAGGACTGACATTAACACTTTATTCATTCATTAAAATCGCTCTCATTCATTCATTTTTACATGTGCATGAAGTAAAACAGGATGTTTTTCTGCCAGATTCTTGTAAAAAGGCAGGAGTACTATCAGAGTCTAGAAAGCCTGGCCGCAGATCTCAGTGTGAGAGCGGGCAGTGTAACACCAAACTAGCTAAAGGCTTGATATAGCTTATAGATTACAGATATGCTCGGCGACCACAGAAAGTATCAACAAAGCCTGGCCTGACTGGAAATGAGAGAGCAGCACACGTTACTGCCCTGTGAACTGTCAGAATGAAACTCAGCTCTACGTTTGACTTTCATGTGAGAAAAACAACAGGATGAGAGCAAAAACCCCAGAAAACATGCAAACCTGACAGCTCCAATGCTAAGAATGGCGAGATAAGAGAATTAGGGGAGGAGGAGGAAGAGGAAGAAGAGATCTTTGGTTTTCAGGAAGAGCCTTGACGATCTCTAGGTCCATTAGCAGGAGAGATGCTATCTTGGCCTTTAAAAAGAAGTTCAATTAAGTCCAGCCCACTTCATCACAGAGTGTCCAATTCTCATTAAGCGAAAGGCAACTTTTTTAATAACTTCTTCAATTCAATTGAAAGCCATTATGCTAAATTGGTCTTGTTTTGTTCTTCTGAATAACCACTAGAGTTAACATCGCCTGCAACTCCTGATTCCCACATAGATCTCCATTATAGATAAGGGCAGGTGACTCATGTAATCTAAGGTGAATCATACTGTTAGCTACACATGAATGTTTGGATTCGTCACATGCTGTACGGGATACATTATCTGGGTTATCTATAGGGAACATCTGCGGATGTCTTACAGGTGGTCACAGTAGATTTTGTGTTACATTTGCAGTTGTTTATTACAAAAAAACAGGGCCTTAGGACCAATGTGAAATGTGTGGGTGGACAATATGCAAATTATTACTTATTATTATTAAGTTTACATGGAAGCCTTTTGTTTCAATAGGAATGAAATCCTTCCGATTGATGAATCTGAACATACTGCTTACATGAACGCTAAATAAAGTGACTGGGTTATACGTAACAAACTTCAAATCGGAATTGATTTTAAATGACGTGCGCACACTGCACGAAGATACTGAGTTCTGTTTCATTCTTACTGACCGCCAGAGGCAGTGTAAACACTATGGATTATCGCAGCGCCAGCTAGCGTTTTCCGATGTTATACTAACCTATCTTCCTACCACTTCCAACCATTTCCTGTTCTTATTAGGAGACGACGAGCACAAAACGAGCGCAAAACGGTCCAGTTTTGGACTTCAATCCGATCAAGTGTTAACATGCCCCCTCAAGCGGATTAGAAAAGGGTTAAACCGACCCTTATTTATAAACCGACCCAATGAATTTATTCGGATTTGACCAATTCATTCCGATTGACGTATTTACCTGTGACTTTTTTATTCCGGCTGTGCTACTGGTCTGATTATAATTGGATTATTAGGCTCCAAGTAAATGCAGCTAATCTGTTAAAAGGCACTAGCCAAGGTAGTGTGCTTACACGATTTAACCCTCTAGGCGCCACGGTCGAGTTTACTCGACAAGACGCGGCACTGAAAAAAAAGGCCGATTTTGTCAAATTGGTTGTCAAATTTCGTTCAACCTCCCCTCCACTGGATGGCAGACATGTCATACTTCATCCCCGAATCAAAAAAACATCATGTTTCTATACAAAATGTTCGAGTTAGAGCGCATTGAATCAGTGCGATCAAAAGCGGAGCTAGTGTGCGAGTAAGCCATTTTATCAGATCCTCTCCGCAATCGCGGCGACAGTATTGTGGTGGAGAGTTTGTCTAATACCACTGGGTATGTTAGACGAGGTCGAAGTATTCATAGGACAGTTACGAGGCAACGTGGAGGCAGGGTGAGGAGTCGCAATGACAATGACAGTAGTCCGAGCTGTGCACACTCGGCGCGCGCGCGAGGCAGATCTGGCCGCGCTGCTCGTATCATGTCACTCATGATCTGTGCGAGTGAGTGTTTGAACTAAACAGGTCTTGTCTACTTGTGTTTGTATGTCATATGAATAAAATATATTTGCCCCATACATGGAATCAGAGTGTCTACTGTATTTAGTAAATGGAAAATCTCTACAGCAAAAGGCCAATCACTACATGCATTCGGTTTGTTTCTACCATTTATTAGTAATGATTTACACAGTTTGTTTACTACTTACTATATACCTGAGCATTCAGTATTGTGCAATATAGCATACAAAAGGTGATGGACATTTTGGGGGGAAAGAAGTGCTGCATTTTATCATTTAAACGTGACTTTTCATGAAAATTCTATGATCCAAGATTGCCACCACCATATGACGTCATAATATGCAAATTAGATGGGAAAATGTAATCCCTACATAAACTTTGGGTCATCCTTAATATTTCTCTAATTTACAGAAAGTCTCTATCTTTTTTCACTTTTAAGATATAGCCTTTTGAAATTAAGATGTCAAAATCGAACGTTTTAGGAAAAAACCTCTGGCGCCTAAAGGGTTAAAGCTGCTTTTGTTTTGTTTGGACTGTGGATAATACAAATTATAATGATTATCTACCAGAAAAGTGGAGGAAAAAGAGTATGGACCCCAGGTTTATTATCATTAACTAAAACTAAAGCTTATTAAAAACATTTTTGTTAATTGAAATATAGCTGAAATAAATTATATTTTATATTACGGCGGCGATAGCCTCGTGGGCAAGTGTGCCGACATGTAGCGCTGTTGTGCTTCGGGCGACCCGAGTTCGAGTCGCAGCTCGTGGACCTTTCCCGATTCCCCACATATATATATATGTGTGTGTGTGTGTGTATATATATATATATGTGTATATATATATATATATATATATATATGTGTGTATATATATATATATATATATATATATATATAAAACAAGCTATTATTTATAAAAACAATTTTTAATACTAAAATAACGCTGGACCCTAGAGAGTAACATCGGTCCTGTTGCCCATTCGCCGAGCTAGAACTCATTGCGTTTTCATTCACGATATAATCATCCTCCCATCTGACGCTATAACTGACCTTGGTGAGGTAGTCATGGATGTTAAGTGTTGCTAGTTTGGTGAGGTGGCCGTTGAGGCCCAGGGCCATGAGGAAGCCAGCGTACTCGTTAGCCAGGTCAGCACTTTTGGGTTTGTTGTAGGCAATCCAGGCAGATTCCACCTGGGAAGCAGGGGCGATCTTAAGACCAGCCGCCACTCCATTATGGAAACTGGGCCAGCTGGTCATGTTGGGCGGCACATCGATGTTACCGCTGTTCAGGTCCACCATGGTGTTCCTGGGAGGAGCACGGCCTGGTGGAGAAGACAAACGAGACAGGAGTTAGGTTACTAAGATACTGCATGGCTTCCTGGGTTTAACAAAGATAGCACATCAAAAACGGAGCATTTTACAGGGGGGAAGTGAGTAGCAAGTAGCTAGTAAATTGCAGAAGAAGAGGTTTCTTATAAAATGACACCCTAAAGCATTCACTAAAATTTCTACATTTTCTGTGCAAAACTCAACATCACAATGCGAGAGTGTTTCCATTCATTTGTTTTACATACCGTAGTTTTAACATAAACAAACTAATAATCTTAAATGTGATGCATATGTGTCAGTCACACATAAATGAAACGGGTAAGATTTCTGTTATAGCACTAATAAACTGACTGTGTTTTAAATACACAACCAGGTTTATCATCAATAAATCCAATTTGTTTCAATCTCATATATTTTAACTAAATTAATATCGCTTGCTCCACAACTGAATAAATGCATTTTGAAAATATGATTATATACAAAAAATCAAATGCATGCAAATAGTTAAAAAATAAACTATGGCGTTTTTTGCAAAAAATCTTACCCGTTTGATTTGACCAATATGCATTTCAAGTTTTACATTTACATTTATTCATTTAGCAGACGCTTTTATCCAAAGCGACTTACAAATGAGAACAATAGAAGCAGTTAATTTGGACTACCCAGACCTCTCCAAGTTTTACAGTTCGTTTATGTTAAAATCCAAATGGATGAAAAATGTATATGCAATTCAAATATATGTCTTAAATTAGGCCTAAATATATTTTTGAGAGTGGTTAACAGAGTGTTGGAGGTCTGGGTAGTCCAAATTGGAAAAGTCCAAAAATCTACATATGAAGAATACCACTAAGGGTCCTGGGAAAACGTTTTCTCTTTAACTGACATGCAATCGTTGAAGATAGAGTGAAAGATATAACGCTGTGGTGGGAAGGGTTGGAAATTTGCATCTTCTGGGCACAGATACTGACAACGAAATTCAACAGTCTTGCTAGCGCTGTAAAAGTATTCATTAGAAAACTTCAAAGCATGGGTGGTGGTTTATGAGAGTACCAGTCAGGTTGAGTTTGGGCACAGGGAGTGGTTCGGTTGGCACAGGGTGGTATGAGAAGAGTGTGAAGAGTCCTCGGCCCACCGGTAGAGACATGGTGCGCTGGCACAACTGTAGCAGTCTGCAACAAAAATAAGAGCAATGATGAATTTAAGATTTCCATAACGTCACTGTTGGGCAGAAACCTATCCTACCTCTATATTTTGTCATTTTTCTTTTATCCATTAATCATTACTATTGGTCACCCTTTATGTCTGTCTGTGGGTTTTGAAAACATTTAATGAAAAGTATTATTTTTTTTTTAAAAGAAAGCTTGTGGCTACACCTCGTATCTCCATTGAATCCTCAAACTGTCTGTACAACCTTGAATTAAAACCTGCTTGTTTGTAATTCAAGGGTAAATGAAGAACTGGTTCTTTGAATAAGAATAGCATTTTCTTTACTCAAACACTGTATATAGTTTAATGTTTCATATATTGGAGGAGCGAAGAAGAGCGCATGGAAGTCATAGCCAGAACTGTTCTAAATGGTGTATGAATGAAGAGACACGTTATTTTCCTATGGGTATTCAATCAATACCACCGTTTAAACATGATTCATTTTGTTAATCTTACATGAGTTAATTCCATCCATTTTGTTTTGGACATGTATACTTATGTGTGTGTGTGTAAATCAATATTTTTTAGTGCATGTACAAAAAACAGATACTCTGCCTTTAATGTTACTCAATATGATGCTTTTGACCTAGGGATTAGAGGAGGAGGACAACGTAATGTTAAAGTCCCCCTGTGGTGAAAATCAAGTTTTTAAATTTGTTTATGTGTTTATGTGGTGTTTTTAATATGCTTTAGACAAACCTGCTTGATGAATGTAAAAAAAATCCATAAGTCAACACCATTGCTGAGTATTTTCTCTTTAAAACTGCAGTGAACCAAAGACAGTCTCAAAAACACACTTTGAAATCGCTGGTGTTACTGACGTCACAAACTAGCTTGTAACCAATCAGATCAACATGTGATCGTCAACCAGTGGATCTATGAGCTGGTGTGAGTGAGTGGAGGCGGGGCTAATTTGCATATTCATAGAAAAGCGTATACTAAATGAGGCAAGAGTTACATTCAAGCCATTTTAAGGCATGAAGAAATTTTTAGGCAAGGAAAAAACGTTTAAATATGTAATTTTAGTGCTCAAAGATGAGTTTTAAGGGGTAACAATTATTGACTACAGGGGGACTTTAAGGGGATGAACTGAAGGTTTCAAGCAGGTCGCTGCCCAAAGGAGGTTATGGCATACATGTAAGGGTTCGAGTTTGACTGTTAAGTATAGAGATGTTGTAAGTTATCTGAGGCACTCTAATGCAAGGCCTCCCTCTCATGTTTCAAGTTTTAATCTACAAATGCTGTGAAAAACAACTTGTGAATAATGCTTCTTTCTGTAGTCAAGGTCGGTAAGCCTGGGAAGAGTCTAGGGAGTCAAATAAAATGTTTCCAATTGAAAAAATATTTACGTATGTTGTCAGGTGGACATATTATGGGATGTTGAGGAAAACCAATGTGGATGAAGATGAACCGGTAAGTGTACATAAATGATAAAAGGATGTAGGAGGCCTTATGATAATCTGTTCATTTGCTTATCCAATTAACTTTGAAAGTTTTTGATCAATGATAAATGAATATGTATGATTTTACTGAATAAATACTCCGTTTTGCTTAGAGCTCATTTTGTAGCTCTCTGAGATATGTTTTAGATTACAATTTCAGACAAATAAATTTAATTTTTACCATCTGAATGGCATGACTTCAATTTTATTGGTGAATTTCCAACACAAAAGCCTGTGCATAGCACTTCATGTTTTCATTTATAGCACTTTCGGCCAAATAACAGAAAATATTGAACCCCACATAGTTGCAATAAACTTTATAACCTGTGCGTTGATGAAAGCATAATGCGAAACCTCAGATGCGGGCATTCTAACGACGGACAAAACAGGTCAGAAATTTGCTGGTCAAAAACCTTGTAACTCCATCTGAACTTGATTTTGGTAAAATGTTAATAATATAAATGGCACAATCAAGTGCCTGACCATTTATAAAGCCACAATATAAATTTAACAGTGTATAATTATGAATAAAAATCTTCTTTTTTTTCTGACAAGTAGCGGTTTTGAACATACAAGGTTTTCCACCTGACAGCGATGATATACACTTCCAAGGCACATTTTAAGGCATTTGTGTTTTCTTTATTTACTTATTTCATTACAGATCCTTTCAGAACCCTACATTCTTTAAAATAAAGGTTCCACAAGAGGGTTTTCACAGCAATGCCATAGAAGAACATTTTTTGGTTCCCCAAAGAACCTTTCAGTGAATGGCTTTCTTAGTGTGAAGAACATTTTAAAAACCTAAAAAAAACTTTTTTCACTATAAAAAACCTTTTGTGGAATGGAAAGATTCCATGGATGTTAAAGGTTCTTCATGGAACAGTAGACGCCATAAAGAACCTTTATTTGTAAGAGTCTACAGGACTTTATTATTAAGAGTATCAGACTGAGCTTGCTCACTTGTTCTCTTTCTCCTCAATGTACTCGTGGTCACTGACTTCAGGCAGGTGGGGCACATTGACCCGGACGGGTCTGGAGCTCTGGAGCAGACGACGGACCTCCTGCACCCTGAGATCCTGACTCCAGATCAGCCCCGTCACCTCCGGGCGCAGGTCTGTCATACCGTCCTCCTCCTCATCGGCATCACTGGTCACTGGCGGCTCGAGCATTACGTTCAGACCAACAGTCTAGGGCAAACACAAACATACTGAATATACAATGAAAGTGCCTTGTTCAATTCGTTCACTTCACATCAGAATAACTGTAATTACACATTCTAAAATTAGAAAATACCAGTCTTAAATACCATATTCAAGTCTTCAGCCCAATTCACAGTAATTGTTTTAACTGGGACAGGAATTACTGTCAGCAATGCCACTATCCAGGAGACGACCATTCAAAATTGGATGTTTTAAAAATATGTTTTGATCCCTGTATAGTGTCCTAGGGTTTCTATTTGATACTTTGCATGATAATGAATATGCAAATATGAATACAGGAATAATATAAGTCTACTTTTTTATTTTAAGCACAACCAAAAAGGAGGCAACTTCCAACAGTTAAAGATAGTTAGGCAGCTTTGTGTATGTTGTATGTTACTATTGATAGTGTCTTAATACAAGATAGTTTACATTTTATCAAGTAATAAACAGCGTTGTTACTGTTCACTAAAACCTTTTTTTTAAAATATAATTTCCGCTAAGTTAAATAAAGCTAAAATAAAATATCATTATTATATGAAAAATCTGACCTTAAAAAAATTAAATTAAATAAAGACTGAAAATATTATATAAATATTATAATAGTATATAAATAATGCTAAAATAAATGCATAAAATACAGGTCAACAGTTGAGTTCAGAATGAAATGTGTTGCAATACATGTACAGCTCTGACCAAACATGCCATTCAAACCGCAAAGCAAGATTTCTTTACATTTGATTAACTTTCTTACAGATTTACGATTGGCCAGGGTGACTTTGTGAGCTTGCTTGGTCAGGTCCTGTCGTCCAATCAGAGCGCAGACCTCCTCAGACCAATCAGAGCAGGGGTGTTCTCTGCACTGGTAGATGGCGTCTCTGATTGGCAGAGCCACACCAAAAGGAACCGACTCCAGATCCTTCAATGTAAATCCTGAGGTAAAAAACAAGCATGTAAAACAGTGTATAGTCACATGTCCCACGTGACAAGCTTGTTTAAAGTTCAAATATAACTAAGCTAACATAAACTAAGGTAAACCAACAAATGCTGCAGAATCTGAGAAGGGTGTTTTTAACCAGACACCTACATTCTGGGCTAAACACAATAGAAATGTAGTGGCTTTAGGAGAATAACGATACGTGAATGCAAATGCTAGCTACCCAATTCCGATTTTACATGTTACTGCTTTCTGAAATGTGTCAGAATGAATTTTTCATCGTGCATTAAAACATTTACAGTCTGTTTTTCTCTTTCAGGTGAACTGCTGTCATGGCAGAGAACAGATTAATGCCAAGCAAGTCAAAATTGAACCGTTTGCTTGTTTTTAGCTAGCATACCTTAATAACGCATCTGAACTAATGACATTTGAAGGAAACTATCACCCCTTGAATAATGAGGTTTGTTACCACCAGAGAAACAACAATGCATGTTAAGTATGGGACTACATGTTTGCGATGTGTCAGCCAAGCATACGCATTTGCAAGAGTGTACTTGTGTTGAGTATGTTTTTGGATCAACAGGTCGTTGTTTCTGGAATCGCTCTGACCTGCAGAGGTCAACCACACCACCAGCTTCTCAGCCAGGCATCCAGATGAAGGTGTTGGCTTCACGCTGCTCTGCCTGAGGAACACACCCGACAATCAAACACACTGGAGGAACTAAATCAGCTGACTAGAATTTATGAGCTGAGACTTATATAGAAAAAACAAACATAAGGCACATGACAGTATTCCTGAACCACAGGTACCTTCTCAGAAAAGGATCACTAATATTCTTCTTTTGCCCTGTGAAAACATGAACCAACAAAAACTTCATAGTCATTTATATACATAGTCAAAAACACTTTTTATTCTTCTTTTTCCTTGTTTTTTGTATTATCAAATCTAATTGGATGTTTTTATTTACTGTATAATGTATTTGATATAAATGCCAGTGAATAAGCTGGAATATGAAAAAAGAAAAAAGATATTACCATTGAAAAGATTAGAGTCAGTAAGATGCCTTTATTCAGCAAGGATGCTTTAAATTGATCAAAAGTGATAGCAAGGAAATTTATAATGCAACAAAAGATTTATATTTCAAATAAATGCTGTTCCTTTGAAAGCAGCACAACTGTTTCAGCATATCAGAATGATTTCTGAAGGATCATGTGACACTGAAGAATGGAGTAATGATGAGGAAAATTCAGCTTTGATCACAGGAATAAGTTATATTAATATATATATAAGAAGTTACATTTAGTCTTACCGACCCAAACTTTTTGAATGGTAGTGTGATTTCAAGGGGAAAAAATGCTAAATATGCCACTACAACACCACTAATCATGAAACTTCTGTGCACTTAGAAACATAAATTGGCAGCATTTAATTTAAGAATTGATTTACAGAAATTCTACCTTCATAGAAAGAGCCCATTATGTGGAATATTATTTCACTATTCTAAAATAACCCAAGAAAAATATACATTTATAACAATAGATTTACACTTAAAAAAAAAAGCAGAACTAAATTTTCAATTTAGTCCAGCCTCAAGATTAGAGCGACTGGTTCATTTTTAGTGAACAATTTGTAGGTGACAGTTTTGATGCTTTGAATTTATGGTATCAGTATTGGTCAAATCTTCTATAGTTGTGCATCCAAACCATGTTTGGCATTCTTCTGTCACGAGTGACAATGCAGGTGACAATAGGATATAGAAATATAGTGGCTAGCATAGTTCATGTTTGTTGGTTGGATTCCCTGTGACGCTCTATTAGCCGCTGGAGGTTGTTGGCATGGTCTTTCCTCTGTATAGATCAGCCCCCAATTTAGCATCCAACCCATATGTGTAATATAATTAATAAATAAATGAATCCTCTTTTTCACTAGTGTACTTGCTTGATGGTAAAGACGCCCTCAATAGCCTCTAATCTCACACACGCAGAGCCCACCTGCTGACAGCCTGGAGAGGTACTTCAACACGTTTGTCGAGATGGCGTCCTCGTCTCCAACCACATACAGGGCATAACTCTGAGAAACAGAGAGAGGAAGAGAGTGAGTATTAGCAGTGGGACAGCACCTGTGTGGTTTTGGTTTGCTACTGTCATGACAGTCACTCAGTCTGGTCATGTGAGGGGAGAATGAACATGTTTCATCATGAAGTAATGCAGGAGCGCAGTCATCAACCACACGCATGACTGCATGCGTCACAATCGCAGCACACAGGTGATCAATTTCAAATCAATCAATTTAATTTCAAATGAGAAATCAGAATTAAAACTATTTAGAAACATTTTTAAACAACAAACTGATAAAAATGACAAAGACGTATAGCTAAAATGCAATTGAGGAATTACGGTAAGCAGAAAGTCTGTTTTGAAGTCTGTTCATGTGCTACTATTACAACAGATTTTTTGTTAATTGAAATAAAGCTGATATAAAATAAAATAATTACATGATGAACTTAAACTAAAAACTTTCTTGGCAACTAGCTGAAAGAAGTTTAGGGTGATTACTGAAGTAAATTAAAAACTTAAATAAAAATAAATTAACAAATTATCATAAATAAACAAAAACTAATAAAAAAAATGACGTAACAAAATGACCAAAATACAGTTGAGGATTTAAACAGGAAGACAGTTTGGATTTAGTCACAGCATCAGATGTTCAAGTTTCGCACCCAAAGTCTGTTGTGATTTTTAACTAAAGGTACACAATGTAACTTTCGGCCCTCTAGCGGGTAAAAAAATGAAACTGCATGTATTTTGAGGAAGAACATAGTTTTGAGTGTGCTTCGGCTCTGTGTGAACAGATTGGATAAAGCATCTAAGGCAGACTAGATAGATCTCTTCAAAAGAGTCAAACCACAAAGTCTCTGTGATATGCTGGTGTCTATATAAGGCTTGAATCTCCTCTTTGAAGGGTTAGTTCAACCAAAAATGAAAATTTTGTCAGTAATTACTCTCCCTCATGTTGTTCAACCCCGTAAGACTTTCGTTCATCTTCGGAACACAAATTAAGATATTTCTGATTAAATCTGAGAGATGTCTCACTCATCCATAGGCTTCTTAAGGGATCGAAACTGGCCGGCCTAAAAGTTATGAAAGACATCGTTAAAATAGTCCGAGTGTCTACAGTGGCTCAATCTTAAGTTTATCAAGCGACGAGAATACTTTTTGTGCGAAAAAAAAAAAAAAAAAAAATAATGCCTTTATTCAACTATTCATTTCCTTCTCTGTGGGCCGTGAGATTTCACGTAGTAAAACTACACAAAGCTTATAGGTTGTACGTCACGCATCACACACATGACCAGCGTCGGCCAATAGTGAGCCTACGTGTGACGTACAACACAGAAGCGCTGCGCTGTTACACTACGTGAAATCTCACGGCCCACAGAGAAGGAAATGAATAGTTGAATAAAGTCTTGTTTTTTGCGCACAAAAAGTATTTTCGTCGCTTGATAAACTTAAGATTGAGCCACTGTAGTCACTCGGACTATTTTAACAATGTCTTTAATAACTTTTGGGCCGGCCAGTTTCGATCCCTTTAAAAAGCCTATGGAGGAGTGATCCAGCTCTCAGATTTAATCAAAAATATCTTAATTTGTGTTCTGAAGATGAACGAAAGTCTTACGGGGTTGGAACAACATGAGGGAGAGTAATTACTGACAGAATTTTCATTTTTGGGTGAACTATCCCTTTAATGTCTAAAAGAGTATTTCTCCTGTTTAAACTGGTGAAAATCTTAAGTCTGATAGCTTAGAAAAGTAATAGCACCCCTCTCCTAAAAACCTGCACAACACGACTGCAATGAGCCATAGTAATGCTGATGCTTTCCTTAGCAATTACCACAAAATGTAATAGGGAGAAAGAAAGGGGTTGGAAAAGAGAAGGAGAGAGAAAGACAGGCAGAGAGAGAGACATACGGTGGTAGTTTAAGTATAGAGGGATTAAATGGATGCTGTAATGTTCTGGACTCTAATCTAAGGGACGGGAACGGTGGGGTAAACACAGCCCATAATTGAGTAACGATTTGTCAGTACCTCAGTAGGGTTGTGCGTCACTTCACTTTGCCTGATGGAAGGAAGTACAAAACAAACACACACACACACCATGGCACCCGTGACCCCTCGTATCGCCCTCTCGAGTGATTCAGCCAACCACTTCCATGGACTAATTAAGGTGGGGCATCACTCCCGCTCACAGGACATGGAGGACGCCCAGGGACGACTCGCTGCTCGTAAAATGTCATTATGATTAGCTTGCAGCACTTTGCCATCTAACTGCTTGACATTTCCACAGAACATGTGTGTGAGTTAAGGGCACGACACCCAGTTCCTCTGCTCACTGTTAACGCCCCCTGTTGGGCATCACCAGCATTCAGTGATTGCTCACATACACAACCAATCACAGCATGACTTCGTTTTAAAGAATACAACACTTTTATTCAGCAAGGATGCATTAAATTAATCAAAAGTGAGAGTAAATTTCAAATAAATGCTGTTATATCGAGTTGCACAAAAACATTAACTGTTTTTTTACTTTGATAATAATTAGAAATGTTTCTTGAGCAGAAAATCTGCATATTGGAATGTTATTTTATAACAATATTTCACAATATTACTGTTTTTTTTTATCAAATAAATACAGCCTTGGTGAGCAGAAGAGACTTTTTTCAAAAACACACAAAAAAAACGGACCCCAAAATGTTTTGGGAGTGACAACCAGATTTAAATGCAAGAGTCTATCCCCTAAATTACCATAAAATCAACCTCTAACCACATGTTATCAGTCACCAGTCAGTAATGATAGTAATTTTAGTTTCACAAACCGTTGCACAAAACTTAATTTCGAGGTGGACTTCACTGAAAGTAATGACAGCTCGCAGTTTAGAAAGTGAGTCAGATAAACACTCATGTCTGATTCAGTGAGCACATTCACATGAACACCAGTACACTGATAACTCACAAAAATCAGCTTATTTTGTACTTGCGTTGTACCGCGTTTACAAGACTTTATTACTATATCAGGTTATTTCCCGGTAGTGAAGTCTAAACGTAATAATTTGAGTATCTGAGTATGTCGGTTATGATGTTAAATAAAGAATTAAAAACCATATATTAGCATTACAACATGTCAGCAGGAGACTTACGGCTTATATATTATCCTCCCACGCAGTTACATTTTTTATAATCTTTTGGGTAAAGAAATGTATGCTGGGCAAAATTAGAGTAAGGGACAAAAATCTAGCTGTGCCAATCGGTTTGTGCTTAAGCCATTGTTCAGTGAAAGATTCATCAGACTGCTTCAAGCTAGTAACTCCTGAGTTTGAGAGTCTTTTTTGAATGAATCGATATAAAAACTGTTCAAAGGAGTCATGTGTGAATCGGACTAAACTGGTCGCACTGTAGAACATCTAGAGAAGGACGCGACTACCTGAATTTGTCAGAAGTGAATTGGGTTTCAGAATGTGCCTGGACCGGACCTATAAATCCAGGCATAAAGACCATATTCAAGATCTTTTCAGTAGCATTTTGGTCCTTACCAGCACCAGTAGTTTGGTTCTCTCGCAGATGCTGGGCAGATAAGGAAAAGGCGCCACATCTTGCCCTCTCAGACAGCGACTGAGCCAGCTGAACACACACGGGGCCTCTCCGTTCAGGAACACCGGCCAAGTCATCAGCTCCATCTGAGCTGCACACAGATGGATGACATCACATGTAAAGCTGCGTGACAAGCTATAGAGTGGTTTATAATTCTTTGAAAATGGTTTTTGAAAGAAGTCTCAAGTTTACCAAGGCTGCACTTATTTAAACAAAATAATATAACAATTTAAAATAACTGTTTTTTATGTGAATATATTGTAAAATGTCATTTTTTCCTGTTATGCAGAGCTGAATTATCAGCATCATTACTCCAGTCTTCAGTGTCACATGATCCTTCAGAAATTATTCTAATATGCTGATTTGCTGCTCAAGCAACATTTAAGATTATTATCAATGTTGAAAACAGTTGTGCTGCTTCATATTTTTGCGGAAACCATGATGCAGTTTTTCAAGACTTTTGATGAATAGATGATGAAATTTGATGAAAAGTTCAAAAGAACAGCATTTATTTAAAATAAACAATTCCATTTAATTAATTTAATGCAACCTTGCTGAATAAAAGTATTAATTTCTTTCAAAAAAATAAAAATAACTTATTGACCACTAAACTTTTGAATGGTAGTGTACATGGAATATACACTGCAGGACCTTTAATTAAACAGCAGAAAGGTGCTGACAAAATATATATTTTTTAACATATATAATAATAATTAGTATAAATTATATTATTAATATATATAATATGATATTTATCTATTCTGAATAAAATAATTATGACAATAATTAAAATAATTATGAAAACTCTCCTGTTCAAGGGCATATACACAAAAAGCAAAAAAAGACAAGACTTTAAATACTTCCTGCCCTAACTTCCAATTTCAAATGGAAATGCATCAACACAGGTGAGAACATGCATAAGCCAAAACTTTTAATGGGACTTTTAACCTTAAGTCTCGACGTTGAGAAATAAATCTTCACGTCTATTTTATGTGTCGACTACCCACATATATAACCAACAGAATCCTCAATTCAGCAAAGCCTGTCACTCAAACCCTAACGTGGCTAGAAGCACATCTGGTCGAACTCCTAACAAGTCAGCACTGTCTGGTAAATGAATAGAAATGCCTTTAGCTGCTAATGAGGAGTCCCGACCGCATTGATCGGACTCGTACCTTGATCAATCACGCAGGCCTCCTTGAACGTTTTGATGAATGAGGGGTAATCGCGCCAGTACAGATCAATGAAATCCTCCTGCTGTAGGTCCCTAATGAAATGAGAGAAAAAATGATTAGTTGGTAACAGAGTCGTCAGGGAGTCAATATATACACTAATACTGGTATAAAAGCCAAACCAGAGCATGACTCACACGGCACAGTGCAATACGCCTCTGATCAATGAGATCTGTGGTTTGGTCGCTGTACATCTGAAGACTAGCGTGGTATTCACCAATATTGTGAATATCACAATGATGTTATTATGCTTTTTATTTGTAAATACTAAAATGTTTGGATTTATCTAAACAGGTTCTAAACAGGATCTATCTTTGGGTGCGGAAGCCTGTTTCTTCCAGTTTTACCTCAGTCAATGTGTCAATACACTCACATAAAAAATAAATAAAAACATGTACTGCCAAGTCAAACATTAATTAATAAGCTGATCAATCTGTTTTTGATTAGGAATAAATTGAGAGTACAGGATGGTTGCAAAAGCACTGTGTCTGCTCCATCTACCACACACACACACACACAAGAGCCTGTGTTGAACATATAACAAGAAAAATATGGAGTAAGGACTTTAAAAGATGCTGGATGACTTTGATGTTAATGATATTAAGTGTTTTCATAAATATCTGTCAGTGTTAAAAAGGAGGACTATTTTTTACATTAAAAATGACCTTCTCTCAGTACATTTGCACTTGTTTTTTTCTAAGGTTTTACATGTTTTTGAATCTATATGAAAATAGAAGATATAGAATATATAAAATACATCATGTGATACATTAAATAGTAGAATATACACAAGTTATAGCATCAGGAAGGGTGATTTGGGGAGAAAAGAGTGAAATACTAATATTGATAGAATAAAGAGTAAAAACATTACATTCTGTCACAGTTTCTAGTGATCATTTCTGGATAATTTCAAAGTGACAATGTAACAAAAAATAATAGCATGTAAAATTGTGGGACATATCTTGCCCCATGTTTCAAGAATCAATGGGCTGTTTGGTTGAAATGATGGTTCCTGATTAATAGGGAAAAAAGACCATTTTAAATACATAAGTAGAGATATGCATCCAATATTGTCAAAAGACTTATATAATATTATATTATAATATTATTACTTATAAAATATTGCCCAGCCCTAATGCTGACCTACAAACAACAGGCGCAAACAATGTACACGAGCCAAAGAATCAGTACTCAATAGAGGACTATGGTTACAGCCTTATCTGGTCTTATAGTGTATTATAATTCAATGCTTTTAAATTTCAAGCCCACATGGGTTTATCAAACGCCAACCAATTAAACTCTCACTGCTGGGGTTTTTTTTCTCCACATGACAGCATGCACTTGACATTTTAATAAACAATGAAAAACATTACAGCTATTTACCCATTCATATTTAGAATACGCCACAAAGGAAAGCAGCGATGACAATGTGAAATGGGAGGTTTGAGGAGTTGGGTGACTTTACTTGGTTAGGAGCCTAGTGCATGTGCATGAGTAATAGAAAACATAAGTTCTGGTCAATCCCACTTCATTAGTTATTATTTCTATCAAACAGGCCAAAAAAATTAAATATATAATTACTTGGCCAGCTGTTGCAGCAGACCAACCAGAGCTCTCGCCCCGCTCCGCTGTAGCTCATCCAGCTTCAGGTCTTCATAGAGCAGGTGCAGAACGTAGAAGAGCACCGGGATATGTGGGAAGAGGAGGGCGGATGACTCCAAACCCACAGCAGACTCTTGGTTATTCACTCCACCAGGGGGCGACACCAACTCCAGGCCTTGAACGGCCACCGCAGGTAGCATGGAAATTTGCCAATGGTAGTCGGAGCAACGGAGGTATGCCCAATCCTGTTGATGTCAGAACAGATGTAGACATATCAACAAACCAAGGGTAAATAAATATCTTCAAAACATTCCCTACAGGAACTCAGTGGAGGGCTGATACATGTTATACACACTATATACACTGACGTTGAAAAGTTTGGAGCCAGTAAGATTTTTTGGTGTTTTTGAAAGTCTCTTATGCTCACCAAGGCCGCATTTATTTAAACAAAAATATAGTAAAACAGAAATATTATTACAATTTAAAAAAAACTGTTTTCTATTTGAATATGTCTTAAAATGTAATTTTTTCCTGAGCTACAAAGCTGAATTTTCAGCATCATTACTCCAGTCTTCAGTGTCACATGATCCTTCAGAAATCAGTATAATATGATGATTTGCTGCTCAAGAAACATTGAAAACAATTTATTTGAAATATAAATAATTTGTAACATTATACTAATTGCTTTTGATCAATTTAATGCATCCTTGCTTTTTAAAGAAAGTATTGCTTACTTTCTCTTACGGTCCCCAAACGTTTGAATGACAATGTATATATTTTTATAATCCTTTCTGTAAAAAACAAATCTAAATCAACATTTCGATCTTCAACCTGCAGTTCAAGCTGATACAGAGAACAGATGACCAAGGGTCTTTGACCCCGACCTTTGCCTCTGGCATGTCTAGGGTCACTCACCTCATCTGAACCCGTGTCAGCGGGACGGGCCTTCTTAGGGGCTATTACTGGAGAGAGAGGCACTTCAAAATGAAGCTGTGGAGATGACAAGTGTGTTAATGAGCATTTAAGACAGACAAGTGTTCATTCACCAATTGGAAACTTCACTATCAGCCATCTTATAATACAATGATGTACAATAAATAGTTTTGTATTTTGTTTTGATAAATTAATAAATAGTGTTTTTTTTTTTAAATAAAGTATTTTGTTTTGATAGTTAAAAAAAATAAACAGTGTTTTGTTTTGATAAATATTTTGTTTTGATAAATAATTTTACTAATATTTTTTAAAATATTTATTTATATATTTATTTAAACAAAGTTATATGAAATACATGCAGGCAAATAAGATCTACAAAACACTTTACATAACATTTATGCAAAAAAAGGAAAATCATTAAAAAATATATTTAAAGATTGAGATTGTCCTGGGCAATATATGGGTATATCAATAATGTTGAAATCATGTTTAATGTGTAGTAAATTGTTGTCTGTGCTTACCTGACAGATTTTAAAACAATGTTTAACTATAATCATTTTAAAACACAAAAAAAGTACATTTAAAAGTACATTTAAGCAAATTGTGCTTTTAAGTCAATTGTAAATCACGTGTAAAGTTTTCGTTTATTTAAAGTCCCTGTAAAGTCAAAATTAAGTATGTGTTCTGAGTTTGTCACACCACAGAAAAATGTGTTATTAGTACTTCACAGTTCACACTCTTTGTAATATGTTTTAGCAATACATTTCTAACATTTATAATCCGTTTAGAATTTATTTTTAGAATTGCCTTTACAGGGACTTTAAATTCTTGATCAATCCTAGTGTGCTAAAACAGGGCCCTGAAAACCCTCCGCATTCCCCAAGGCTATCGAACGCAAAGACAGACACAGAGGTCAGACCAAAGAGACACTCACGTTGCGTGTCCACGTCAGTCGTTCTGTGTTGTAACCCATCATTGTCATTAGACATGTAACAAACAGGTTCCACTCCAGGTGCATGCTGGGACCTCCAGGGGCGTTGTAACTGTTGTACCACTTGACCAGCACTTTCATGGCAGTGTCCTTGGGTAAAATAAACCTGACGGCCTGCAGGCAACGTTTGACTGTGGGAGTGAAAGAAAGATCAGCGGTTAATAACAAAAGTCACTGTCACAATGGTAAGGTGTGGCGCTTTCTGTAATATTTTAGTCTCTAGAAAAGACTTGAGTGCCTGCTGAAAAAAGTGAATCAATAATAAAATGAATTAGATTCAGCTGTAAAGCAGCTCTACACAAGACAATATAGTGTCATCATCATACAGCTCAATTCAGTTCAAGTTTGGTTTTCATCCGATAGTATCAGTGTAGTCAAATCTATAATATTACTGAATATTAAGTGTCTTTTAAACCCCCGCAGGCCTCTTGTGAGTCAATATGTTTGTTTCACTCATTCCATCATTCATCAGGCAGAATCACTTGGTAAGTAACACAGCACACCTTTCTTTAAGGATTTGACGAATAATTCATGTCTGAAACATGCTGAAGTTTAATAAGAAGTGGTACAACTTTACGATAAGGTTCATTAGTTAAAGGGATAGTTGACTTTGAAATTATTTTTTGGTATGTTTTAGCTTACCTCAAGGGCATCCAAGATGTAGGTGTCTTTGTTTCCCCAGTAGTTTCAATTTTGATATTTTTAGGTCAAACCGTTCTTGTCTGTCACACATTGATGGCCTAAGACACGAAATGAGCGGTTTGTGTGAGAAAACGAACAGTATTTAGAAACGGAAACGAAGCGCCCGCGCCCTCAGATCACTTGGACGTGGCTGTGGTTACAAGAGGTAAAAACTATATAAATACGGTTCGTTTTCTCACACAAACCGCTCGTTTCGTGTCTTAGGCCATCAATGTGTACTTACATTTACGAGTCATTAAATCATGTTTAATTTGGACTTCTCTGTGCATGCTCTTTGAGGTGGTGACCATAGACCTGCATTATATGACTGACAGACAAGAACGGTTTGACCTAAAAATATCAAAATTGAAACTACTGCGGAAACAAAGACACCTACATCTTGGATGCCCTTGAGGTAAGCTAAAACATATCAAAAATTAATTTCAAAGTGAACTATCCCTTTAATGTATAAACATGAACTAACAATGAGCAATACATTTGTTACAATATTTATTAATCTTTGTTAATGCAAGTTAATAAAAATACAGCTGTTCATTGTTTGTTCATGTTAGTTTACAGTGCATTAACTACTGTTAACAAATACAACCTTTGATATTAATACCAACTAAGATTAACAAATAAACTACTAAAGCGGTTAACTAATGAACCTTATTGTAAAGTTTTACCGAAGAAGTGTAATAACCAATTGTTATAATGATGCTTGCTTTAGCAAACACCACTAGAACATGTTTTTAGTCAGCTGTCACCACAGATCTCTGATGAATTAATACCATAATATTAGATTAACATTAAAAATAACATTAAAACATCATTTTTAGGTCATATCGCCCACCCCCATGTGTGTACATCAAAAATAAGTGTAGGTGACGATAATGGAGATGAATGTTGTTCTATTGAAGGGTGCACACGGAGGGGGCCGGCGCTTCAAAGGACACAGCCGGAGCTGGAACACACATCTGAGCGAGGGGGTGGAGAACACAGGGGAACCGAGCGAAGCAAGGGACACTACACTTGAGGGGGTTTATAGATGACTGTTTGCCAGAGTGCTCGACTGCGTGACACGGGGGCTACAAGACCTGATACAGAGAGGAAGAGGATGTTGAGGGTGGAGGAATGCATGGGGTTTGGTTTGATTGGATTTCTGTAGCAAGATGAAATGAAATATAAGATTTTTTTTTAACCTTGATATAGTTTGTTGAGCAAAACCCTTGCTATGTACCAATACTTAATCCAATTTTGGGGAAAAAATCTGAAATTTTAAAAATGTTAAATACACAAAGGCATGGAATGATGGGAAATTGCTTTTTTTATTTGAATATTCAACATATATGTAACTATGAAATCACATTTCCATTTTCCACTGAATAAAAAAAGGCAATTGGAACTTATCTCAGAATTCTGATGCAATTTCGAGTTTATACACTCACCGGCCAGTTTATTAGGTGCGTTTGTTTAACTGCTCAATAACGCAAATATCTTATCAGCCGATCACATGGCAGCAGCTCAATGCATTTGGGCATGTAGACATGGTCAAGACGATCTGCTGAAGTTCAAACTGAGCATCAGAATGAGAAGGAAAGGTGATTTTAATGACTTTGAGCGTGTCATGGTTGTTGGTGTGTTTCAGAAACTGCTGATCTACTGGGATTTTCACACACACCCATCTCTAGGGTTTACAGAGAATGGTCTGAAAAAGAGAAATATCCAGTGAGTGAAAATGCCTTGTTGATGCTGGAGGTCAGAGGAGAATGACCAGACTGGTTCGGCAGATAGAAAGGCAACAGTAACTCAAATAAGCACTCGATACAACCGAGGTTTGCAGAAGAGCTTCTCTGAACACTCAACATGCCAAACATTGAAGCAGAAGAGCTACAGCAGCAGAAGACACACACCGGTGTCACTCCTGTCAGATAACAACAGCAAACTGAGGCTACAATTCACACAAACTCACCAAAACTGGACAATAGAAGATTGGAGAAACGTTGCCGGGTTTGAGGAGTCTCGATTTCTGCTGCGACATTCAGATGGTCGGGTCAGAATTTGACGTAACATGAAAGCATGGATCCACCCTGCCTTATATCAACAGTTCAGATCGTTCAGCTCCGACAAATCTGCAGCAACTGCATGATGTGTTCATGTCAATATGGACCAAAATCTTTGAGGAATGTTTCCAGCACCTTGTTAAATCGATGCCACGAAGAATTAAGGCAGTTCTGAAGGCAAAAGGGGGTCCAACCGGTACTAGCCGAGTGTACCTAATAAAGTGGCCAGTGAGTGTATCGCAATTCTGACTTTATTTCTCGCAATTTCGAGTACATATCTCGCAATTCTGACTTTTTTCTCAGAATTGCACATTTTTAAACAATTCTGACACGCAATTTCCAGTTTGTAGCTTGCGTTTTAAGTTAAAATCTCACAAATCGGACTTTTTTTCTCCAGGTTATTATCTCTGTTAAAGGGTCATCAGATGCCCATTTTCCACAAGTTGGTATGATTCTTTAGGGTCTTCGTGTAAAGTTGGTAACATACTTTGGTTAAAATTCCTCAATGGTTGTGTAAAACAACACCCTTTTTACCCCCTCAAAAACAGCTCTCAGGGTATTTCAGGGTAAAAAATTTCAGGGTAAAAAAATAGTTTGTGATGTTTTGCCAAGACATGCATGACTATTCGTACTCCTCGTAATTTGGGTTAGTAATTTAAACAACCCCCTATTTCAAAGTATTAAATTCAGCTTGTAATTTGTCCCACAAGCTTGTGCTAGAGACATGAGTCCTCAAATCGCACAGCTTGTTGAGGAGAGACACAAGTCACATCTAGAAGGTTAGTAAACCATCTCAGCGCTACTATGTAATTTCATAATTTTGCAGTAGAGCCACAGATGTGAATCTGTGTCAATCCTAAAGAGATTGTTCATCCAGCTTTGTCACTAATTCTTGAGAGATCAGTGTAAATATCAGTGACCACAAGCGATAAAGCTACATTTAAAAATCCAGTGAAATCTTCACTGGTTAAAATACTTCCAGCAAAACGAGTAAAAGTAGTTTTTTGGTTCACAACTAAACATAAATTAGGGATATCTAAAATGGCATTTTCCACTTCTTTCATTTTATTTGTTATCATTCAGCGTCACACCACCAAACTCAATGACTTTGCCTAGAGCTTAATTAGCAAACAAACTCCAAAAGGTCAGGATGGACCTGAATAAAATGTCACTTTATTAGTGGTACAAAGCCCACCACTTTCAAACTAAAGCACTTATTAACAGGAAGCTGGCATTAATTGAGAAAATTGTAAAGAAAGCTGGATTGGGTAGATGTCACACACAATCAGTCTAAGACGAAAGGCCAAGAAAAAAAAACTAAAATGAATCCGCCACGGGAAACCTGCACCCGCAGTTGGGATGAGAACACTGTTTGTCCATTTAAAAGTCACCGCCGTCATGCTAGCATGCTTTGGGTGGTTTCTAGGTGGTGAACATTATAATTAATTGTAAAAAGTCAATAGAAAAAGTAATAGCAAACAGTTTTAATGACATGAACAGACCATAAGCATGTATCATGACAATACTTCCTGAAATAATTATAGCAAACACATTAGAGAAGGTCAAATGTCTAAATGTAGAAAGTGGCAGGAATGACTCACAGTTTAACTTCGCAGTAAAGCACAAGTGCGTTCATTAGTGACAGATCCTTGAGCACATCATTTATGCCAAATAAATCAGGATCTGAGTTCTACAAAATAACTACAAAAAATACTGATAGGTCTCATAGGAGTGGGAGTGTGGCTGGAAAACGGCAATGTTCATCTCACATCGTGGCGGTAATTAAACAAGTTTAATTTCATAATACTACTAAATTATACTGTTAAAAACAAAGTTTCTGTAGAAAAAAAATCATTTCAAATATTCCAATATTAGACTAAAATTTATGAATATGACAAAATATTCTTTACAAAAATAACACTTTGCAATAAGGTTTCATTGTTAATGTTAATTGGACATAGGCTAACAATGATCAATATCTTTTTAAAGCATTTATTAATATCTTTGTTAAGGTTACTTAAAAGAAATAAAATAGTTTATGGATTGTTCATGTTAGTTCATAGTGCATTAAATAATAATAATTGAATTTATTGACTTGACATTTACGTTAAAAGATACATCCTAGGATGCGCTGGCACACATCTTCAGTGATTCGGGTCTTTCAACATCATACACCCTCACACAGGTGACCCAGCCAGCCAAATACATTTATTTAGGGTATTTTTTTATGTGTTTGTATTTTTGAGGATTTGTGTTTCATATAAATGGTCTGTTTCATATGAATGGTCTGCCCCTCCTTGAACTGCCACCTTAACGTGGTGGAGGGGTTTGAGTACCCGAATGACCCTAGGAGCTATGTTGTCTGGGGCTATATGCCCCTGGTAGGGTCTCCCAAGGCAAACAGGTCCTAGGCGACGGGTCTGACTAAGAGCGGTTCAAAATCCCCTTATGATGGACAAACATCCAAGGACCGTGACGTCGCCCGGTATGGCGCAGCCGGGGCCCCACCCTGGAGCCAGGCCCGGGGTTGGGGCTCGTATGCGAGCGCCTGGTGGCCGGGCCTCTCCCCACGGGGTCCGGCCGGGCTCAGCCCGAAGGAGTGACGTGGGACCGCCTTCCCGTGGGCTCACCACCTGCAAGAAGAGCCGTAAGCGGCCGGTGCAGAGAGTATTGGGTGGCAGTCGAAGGCGGGGACCTCGACGACCCGATCCCTGGACACGGAAACTAGCCTTAGGGACGTGGAACATCACCTCGCTGGCAGGGAAGGAGCCTGAGATGGTGCGTGAGGTTGAGAGGTTCCGACTAGAGATAGTCGGGATCACCTCTACGCATGGCTTGGGCTCTGGAACCACACTCCTTGAGAGAGGATGGACTCTTCACCACTCTGGAGTTGCCCATGGTGAGAGGCGACGGGCTGGTGTGGGTTTGCTTATAGCCCCCCAGCTCAGCCGCCATGTGTTGGAGTTTACCCCGGTGAACGAGAGGGTCGTTTCCCTGCGCCTACGGGTCGGGGATAGATCTCTCACTGTCGTGTGTGCCTACGGGCCAAACGGCAGAGCAGAGTACCCGGCCTTCTTGGGCTCTCTGGGAGGAGTGCTGGAAAGTGCTCCGACTGGGGACTCCGTCTTTCTACTGGGGGACTTCAACGCTCACGTGGGCAGCGACAGTGACACCTGGAGGGGCGTGATTGGGAGGAACGGCCCCCCCGACCTGAACCAGAGCGGTGTTCAGTTATTGGACTTCTGTGCTAGTTACAGTTTGTCCATAACGAACACCATGTTCAAGCATAAGGGTGTCCACCAGTGCACGTGGCACCAGGACGCCCTAGGTCGCAGGTCGATGATCGACTTTGTGGTCGTTTCATCTGACCTGCGGCCGTATGTCTTGGACACTCGGGTGAAGAGAGGGGCGGAGCTGTCAACTGATCACCACCTGGTGGTGAGTTGGATCCGATGGCGGGGGAGGAGGCTGGACAGACTCGGCAGACCCAAGCGTACTGTAAGGGTTTGCTGGGAACGTTTGTCCGAGTCTCCTGTCAGAGAGATCTTCAACTCCCACCTCCGGCGGAGCCACGACCGGATCCCGAGGGAGGCTGGAGATATTGAGTCTGAGTGGACCATGTTCTCCACCTCCAGTGTCGAAGCGGCTGCTCGGAGCTGTGGCCGTAAGGTCTCCGGTGCCTGTCGAGGCGGCAATCCCCGAACCCGGATGGTGGACACCGGAAGTAAAGGATGCCGTCAAGCTGAAGAAGGAGTCCTATCGGGCCTGGTTGGCTTGTGGGACTACTGAGGCAGCTGACAGGTACCGGCAGGCCAAGCGGACTGCAGCCCGGGTGGTTGTGGAGGCAAAAACTCGGGCCTGGGAGGAGTTCGGTGAGGCCATGGAGAAGGACTATCGGCTGGCCTCGAAGAGATTCTGGCAAACTGTCCGGCGCCTCAGGAGAGGGAAACAATGCCCTACCAACGCTGTTTACAGTGGAGGTGGGCGGCTGTTGACCTCAACTGGGGATGTCGTCGGACGGTGGAAGGAATACTTCGAGGATCTCCTCAATCCCGCCGTCACGTCTTCTATTGAGGAAGCAGAGGCTGAGGGCTCAGAGGTGGACTCGTCCATCACCCTAGCTGAGGTCACAGAGGTAGTCAAGAAACTCCTCGGTGGCAAGGCACCGGGGGTGGATGAGATCCGCCCTGAGTACCTCAAGTCTCTGGATGTTGTGGGGCTGTCTTGGCTGACACGCCTCTGCAGCATCGCGTGGCGGTCGGGGACAGTGCCTCTGGGATGGCAAACCGGGGTGGTGGTCCCTCTTTTTAAGAAGCGGGACCGGAGGGTGTGTTCCATCTACAGGGGGATCACACTTCTCAGCCTCCCTGGGAAAGTCTATGCCAGGGTACTGGAGAGGAGAATACGGCCGATAGTGGACCCTCGGATTCAGGAGGAACAGTGCGGTTTTCGTCCAGGCCGTGGAACACTGGACCAGCTCTATACTCTCTACAGGGTGCTGGAGGGTTCATGGGAGTTTGCCCAACCAGTCCACATGTGCTTTGTGGATTTGGAGAAGGCATTCGACTGTGTCCCTCGCGGCGGCCTGTGGAGGGTGCTCCGGGAGTATGGGGTCCGGGGTCCTTTGCTAAGGGCTGTCCGGTCCCTGTATGACCGAAGCAGGAGCTTGGTTCGAATTGCCAGTAGTAAGTCAGACTTCTTCCCGGTGCATGTTGGACTCCGGCAGGGCTGCCCTTTGTCGCCGGTTCTGTTCATAGTTTTTATGGACAGAATTTCTAGGCGTAGCCAGGGGCCGGAGGGTATCAGGTTTGGGGACCACGCGATTTCGTCGCTGCTTTTTGCGGATGATGTTGTCGTGTTGGCCCCTTCACACCAGGACCTTCAGCATGCACTGGGACGGTTTGCAGCCGAGTGTGAAGCGGCTGGGATGAAAATCAGCACCTCCAAATCCGAGGCCATGGTCCTCAGTCGGAAAAGGGTGGCTTGCTCACTTCAGGTTGGTGGAGAGATCCTTCCTCAAGTGGAGGAGTTTAAGTATCTTGGGGTTTTGTTCACGAGTGAGGGAAGGATGGAACGGGAGATTGACAGACGGATCGGTGCAGCTTCTGCAGTAATGCGGTCGATGTACCGGTCTGTTGTGGTAAAGAAGGAGCTGAGCCGTAAGGCAAAGCTCTCGATTTACCGGTCAATCTACGTTCCTACTCTCACCTATGGTCATGAGCTTTGGGTCATGACCGAAAGGACAAGATCCCGGATACAGGCGGCCGAAATGAGCTTTCTCCGCAGGGTGGCTGGGCGATCCCTTAGAGATAGGGTGAGAAGCTCGGTCACTCGGGAGGAGCTCAGAGTAGAGCCGCTGCTCCTCCACATCGAGAGGGGTCAGCTGAGGTGGCTCGGGCATCTGTTCCGGATGCCTCCTGGTCGCCTTCCCGGGGAGGTGTTCCGGGCACGTCCCACTGGGAGGAGACCCCGGGGAAGACCTAGGACACGCTGGAGAGACTTTGTCTCCCGGCTGGCCTGGGAACGCCTCGGTGTCCCCCCGGAAGAGCTGGAGGAAGTGTCCAGGGAGAGGGAAGTCTGGGCATCTCTGCTCAGACTGCTGCCCCCGCGACCCGGCCCCGGATAAGCGGAAGAAGATGGATGGATGGATGGATGAATGGTCTGGCAAAATTTCCATTATAGGATTAATCAAGTTTTTACCTTATCTTACCAGATAAATATTTTGGTTTAAAGGGTTCATATGATGCGATTTCTTGTTTTCCTTTTTCTTTAGTGTGTTATGTAGCTTTGCATGTATAAGATCTGCAGTTAAAAAGCTCAGTGTCAAACCTAAAGAGATATTCTTTATAAAAGTTCCTTCCTAAAACACGCCTCCACAAATCTACGTCAGTATGTGCCAAATGTATACGCAAAGAAAGAAGGCGTAGCTTTTATTCTCGCTGTGTTATTGTTGTCGCCGGCGCCACCATATCGCGGAGATGCTGTATTTTTCATGCGAAAGTCAAATGTTTTGTTTGGCCTTCCAAAAGTGGACACGATTATTAAACAGTGCTTAAGCTTCATTTACAACACTGTTCCAGAACAGTACAACTAAAATTTTCGACTGTGTGCTGCGCATTTTTCAGAGGACAGTTTCCAGAACCTGGGAGAGTAAAGGCCGGCTGTGCACAAAGGCTGATTCTGACTCACAGACACAGCCTGTAAGTATGTTTTCATATTTTAAGAATTTGCTACTGACTATTCAAACGCGAGTTTTGAGCAGTATAGAGTAGCGCTTGCTTGTCGTTTCTACGATCACAAATGCAGACATAGTTTTATGTTTACATAGTGTTCTCACACCCGTAGTGCGGCGCAACGTGTAAAAAGACAGTACAAGTCATTTTAATCAGTAATCATGTCCCCAATGAAATAAAACCTTAACAATCTGATACGATCTGGTCCAGTCGCGCTGGCAAAGTTCATTGATCAGCTTTGGTCATCTGCATTTTCCGGTTCAGATTCTGGCTTGAATTGATGAGGTAATAACGACATTATCACCTGTCATTGTTGCTTTGGGAGCTGATGTTCACAATATGGAAAGGGACGTGTCATTTCCATCACAAGGTTTTTCAGAACGATGAGCTTTGTAAAAATGGACGCGTTTCAGAAAGGCGGGGCATAGAGGAGCAACAATAATGTACAGTTTGTGTAAAATAATTACAAACCGTGTAAACACATTGCATTAAACCAAATACACAAAATAATGTTCTTTTTAGAACCATCATATGACCCCTTTATAAGATTAATAAATCCTGAGTGTTTTGATGGTTTGTTGTGCCTTTTCAAGCTCACAAACAGCTTGTGACTCAGCTCTGTGCTGCATTTGAGGCAATGCATCACGCTGTTGGACCGTTTTTATCCGAGTGTTCTCTCTTACCCAGCTCTGAAGTGGCCACCTCAGGAATGGTGATTCTTAACATGGAACCGGAGCTCAATTCCTGAACAAAAGAAAAGAAAAGTGAGAGGCGGATATTAGCAGCACATACTGAACTGCAGAAAACATCAAATAGCGTCCGAACCTAAAGGCGTCACGTTGCTATTTATATCTGGTCGAATTTATTCAAAAGCGAGCAGGCTTTTGTTGATCCCTTTGCTAAAATAAATTGAGAACAAAAAGAACAATTGCATGCATAAAAATTCCAGCAGGCATTCTACAATGACTTGGATGAAAACAAACCTTAGACGCTGGCTATTTTTAAACCCCTTTCTCTGAAGCATATCATCCCACATAAGTTGGTTGTGGCGAGATTGCTTTGACAGGCCTGCGAGGGGATTTCTTCTAGTAGGACATGCCGTTCAGTGGGAAATGACAACGCAGAGGGGCAGACTGCAGGGGACCAGACTTTATTGAGTCTTGTCAAAACAGTGACGGGCTCCTGGTGCACATGTCTGTCGGTCATGTCCTGTTACTGTGGCAGCCCTCAATTACAGCCGGGCACTGAACGACAAAAGCAATTACCAGCTCCTGCCTTTAGCAGCAGTGGTCAGCACAAACACAAACGCAAGCATCTTGACCCTCTCTGACATTTTGAAAATGCATTTAGAATGCAGCTCCTACATTTATGTCAATGGTACAGACAGCGATATATGGAGTGAGCCAGGTCGATTCACCGCAACATACATATGTGGGCATTTTGAGATTACTGCCATCGGACAAAAAACTGTGTCCACTTTGCTGAATAACAGAAGAGTGTTCCTTCCAAAACATACTGACAAATAAATAAATAAAACCTCATTTGTTATCAATGAATAAAATATATTGTCCACTATTATGCATAGGCTAAATTGTAATTAAAGGGACAGTTCACCCAAAGATGTGTCATTTACTCACCCTCATGTTGTTCCAAACCTGTACGAGTTTCTTTCTTCTGTTGAACACAAAAGAAGATATTTTAAAGAATGTTTGTAACCTGACAGTTGACGGTAGCCATTGAATTTGGCCATCATATTTTTTTTTCCTACTATGGAAGTCAATGGCGACCGTCAATTGTTTCATTACCAACATTCTTTAAAATATCTTATTTTGTGTTCAACAGAAGAAAGAAACTCATACAGGTTTGGAACAACTTGAGGGTAAATTAATGTACGCAAATGATGACAGAATTTACATTTTTCGGTGTAAATTCTATCCCTTTAATTCGGCAAACAATGCGTCTAAACAAATGTATTGTGCACTGTACATTAGAGATCCAAGATATATTGGTAATCATATCAGTGTCGGCCAATATATATTAATTAATTATCAGGATTGGACGGAATCAGCTGATATTGGAAACACATAATATCACATATACACACTTTTTAATATACACACGCGTTTTCAAAAGTACTGAAGTGTCAGTCTGTTAAAAGGTGTTAAAGTCAGCATGAAATTAAAATTCACCCTATATATTTTGTAAATGCTTGTTATAGATGTAATTGTTAACAATTCATCCATGCATATGTTTAATTCTATATTAAATGTATCAAAACTGACTTCTTTAATCATTTAGTCAGTTTAAATGCCACCCCTGCAAAATCAAATCAAAATCTGATGCAAAAAAACATATGTCCACCCTACATATTTTCTTCTCGATAATCTATTACACTCAGCAGTACGTCACAATACGGAATAAAAATCTGTCGCGACTTCCGTTTCATTGGGACTTTTAAAGTCTGGTTTTAATTAAAAGCTTGCATGAAATATTGCAAACTGCAGCTTCATGAACAAGAGATAAATAATTATAGCTTAATAATACCAGCCATCATATCAATTATTACCCATTCTTAAAATATTCTGTATCAGCGCACCCTAATTGTACAGCCCTCTCTAAAAGAGCATTCTAATGATTTCTGTTACCCTCAGCATTAATATCAATTTGACTCTGGAATATCAATAAACCAAATGCAGAGAGGGGGTTAGAGGTGACGGGCTGCACTAACCAGCGTGACTCTGTTGCTGACGGGGTCTCGGAGGGTGTGGATATGAGGTGCAGCCTGCTGGAAAGGAGAGTCTTCCAGCCATGATGATTCGTGGTGCTGCGTCGTGCTGCGGACCTCCAACACAGGGGACGGCATGCCAACCTTAGAGCAGGAGATGAGGAATCGGATAATAAAACACAGAAACATTACACCATTAAACAGTGATGCAAGGTGTTGCACCTTCATGCCCATCTCTTCTACAGCCACCTGTTTCCTTGAAGTGCCCCTGTTATGCTTTTTCAGATATTACCTTTAATTCAGTGTGTAATACAGCCGTTTGTGAATGCAAAAAGTAATTCCAGTCTTACACATGTACATAATGGCAGTCTATAGAGAGCCTAAGTCCCTCCCCTTCCGGTTGACCACCATGGGACCTTATTTAGGGAAAAATATTGTATGGTAGTCAATGGCGAGAGACAACAAATATTTTGATCTCGTTTGAATTGTGCCCTGAATTACACATATGATGTTTGTCAATTTAAAAGATACATTTTAAAGTAAAAAAAAGTCACAGTTTGATGTAAATCTGTTGAGGTATAAGTCTGTGAAAATACGAAATTACAAAGACTACAAACCCAAAAGGCCCACATTTTCTCTGAATGAATGAAGCTAACTTTACTGAAGCTAACGTCTGTAATTTTTTTCTATAGTCTTGCGTTATAATCGTAACGTTACGCCGTCATGCCTGAGTGTTTTGTACCAGACTCCACACACACGAGCAGCGGATCTTGCTCGTTGTTTCGCTTCCCGGGAGATGTAGTTCATTGCGCGATTTTCACATAAAACTAAATGTTACTCTTCTGTTTTATGACAAACTGCGACTTTCTTGACTTTCATGATTATCTTTTAAATTGACAAACATCATATGTGTAATTCAGGGCACAGTTCAGACGGAATAAAAAGATAAGTTGTCTCCCGCCATTGACTACCATACATATTTTTTCCGAAATAAGGTCCCATGAGACGGAAGCGGAGGGGAGGGACTTAAGCTCTGTTTGGTTTTCATTGGCTGCCCGCGTAGGACGTCTACTTTGACCCACCCTCAAACCCTGTAGTTGTAGCTGAGGCTTGAAAGAATTTGGTTCGTGTTGTTGACATGTCAAGAAGACACTGTTTTCTGTGCTGTGAATCCACTTGGTATGCACTTTCAAAGGATGAGGACTTGCGCTCTAATTGATACAGTAAAATAACGCCTACTGTTCATATCACTGTTCATCAAGTGCTGAAATTCAGATATGGTAATGGATATGGATGTGCCCCTAAAGGGACATGTTTAGGCTTGCTGTGGTAATCGGATGCATTACAATACATCAGATTTCATTTATCACGTGAAGATAGTAAGTAAGATAGATGGTGGAGGATTTGGTGCACAACAAATATTTTATCTTGGTAAATGTAGAGTCAGTACCACCACTCCCAATACACAGAGAACACATGATTGCGAATTCGAAAGGGAGGGATTTAGAGAGACTGAATTCGATATCAAACCGTTTTAGACACTGAGAGAAAAGCGGTGATGCTGCAATGTGTATTATGAGAAAATTAAAGTGTTTTTTTTTCCTGAATGTAAACCTCAAAAACAAAATAAGGAACCTTTAAAATAACATAATAGGGGCACTTTAACATTCACTTTCCTATCAAAAAAGGCATTGAAAATATTACTAAAAAAGGTATTTGTGGCTGCTTTCTTTACCGTTATTAGTACATATAAGTACATCATCTGCCCTGAGTACATCTGTAGTTCTCAGGAGTTAAAGTGAACAAAATAAAATGCTGTTTGTGCTTTAGGGGACATTTGCAGAAGCTTTTATCAATGGTGTAATACTTCATGTTAAATGGTCTAAAACAACAGTCATAATTAAATACACTTACATTTGGTATGATTAATAATTACTAAGCATTCTATCAATCACATAGGCTACTTGATCTCCGTTTCACGAAATTAGATCATCAAACCAGCCTCATGTTGTGGGCCAAGTTGTTTTTGTTGTTTAAGAGCAAAAATAACAGAGCGGGCCATATTACTGTGATTTAATACTGATATTGATTCATTTGTAAGAACAAAGTGGAGAAGGCCATTAGCATTAGGACATAATATCAAGAGTCCTCCAAGAATGTGGTCTTGTCTTACATATATGACTCAATTAGTGTGTCACTAATTGGCTACAATATAACACACACACACACTCCCTCAATAAGCACATTGCAGTACCTCCTCCAGTCGGCTCATATGCTGAACTGTGGCCCTGGCGGGGGTGCTGATGTTCTCCAGAGGAGTGATTAACTGCAGCTGGTGGTTCTGCACACTGAAGCTAGGAGACAGAAGGCCAGGGACAAACACTTTGCTGACCTGGAAGTAAAATAGTCATGATTATTAGCTTAAAAACTGGACGGTTTTGTATTACAAAAGGTTTAAAACTGAATTACTTTGTCGGTAATGAGAATAACAATTCTGTTTATGTATATAAAGCAGAGGTGTCAAACTCAGCTTATGTGTACCTTTAAAATTTCATCACTCATTATACTTCTAATTTTTGTTTTTATTTTAGTCTCAATTTATCAATTTTCTTTAAACATATTATGTAACAAATATTAAGTTTGTGCTCAAATCATTTTATTTACTGCAGGGCCTTGCTAAAATTGCCAATGTAAACTTTTTTAGATATTAAACAAAGTCCATATGTTTATGCCTTGGTTTTATAACGGTAATTTTTAAACAGACCTTTGATTTTATTAAAGGCTATATGTAAGATTTTTCATGTATTAATTGCGTTTTATTGCCAATGTATGAACAGCTTGTAACAAAACTTAAAATCGAGACCTTCGTCGACTTCCTAGGTTATCTGAAAGCCTGTAGACTGATTTTTATGTGAAAGATGTTTTTGCCAAGAAAATCCAAAGGATGTGACGTTTACGCATGCCCTCTCTTTCTGTTCAATGACACATGAAATTAATGCTTATACAAATGTTCAGGATAATGCCAAAAGAGCTATTCTGTATTGTAATGTCAATTTGTCATGCAAAGAAAAGGGGTTAATTCAAACTATAGTCTCATAGTCATATATATATATATATATATATATATATATATATATATATATATATATATATATATATATATATATATATATATATATATATATACACACATATATACACTCACCGGCCACTTTATTAGGTACCCCATGCTAGTAACGGGTTGGACCCCCTTTTGCCTTCAGAACCGCCTCAATTCTTCGTGGCATAGATTCAACAAGGTGCTGGAAGCATTCCTCAGGGAGTTTGGTCCATATTGACATGATGGCATCACACAGTTGCCGCAGATTTGTCGGCTGCACATCCATGATGCGAATCTCCCGTTCAACCACATCCCAAAGATGCTCTATTGGGTTGAGATCTGGTGACTGTGGAGGCCATTTTAGTACAGTGAACTCATTGTCATGTTCAAGAAACCAATTTGAAATGATTAGAGCTTTGTGACATGGTGGAAGTAGCCATCAGAGGATGGGTACATGGTGGCCATAAAGGGATGGACATGGTCAGAAACAATGCTCAGGTAGGCCGTGGCATTTAAACGATGCCCAATTGGCACTAAGGGGCCTAAAGTGTGCCAGGAAAACATCCCCCACACCATTACACCACCACCACCAGCCTGCACAGTGGTAACAAGGCATGATGGTTCCATGTTCTCATTCTGTTTACGCCAAATTCTGACTCTAACATCTGAATGTCTCAACAGAAATCGAGACTCATCAGACCAGGCAACATTTTTCCAGTCTTCAACTGTTCAATTTTGGTGAGCTCTTGCAAATTGTAGCCTCTTTTTCCTATTTGTAGTGGAGATGAGTGGTACCCGGTGGAGTCTTCTGCTGTTGTAGCCCATCCGCCTCAAGGTTGTGCGTGTTGTGGCTTCACAAATGCTTTGCTGCATACCTCGGTTGTAACGAGTGGTTATTTCAGTCACTGTTGCCCTTCTATCAGCTCGAACCAGTCTGGCCATTCTCCTCTGACCTCTGGCATCAACAAGGCATTTCCGCCCACAGAACTGCCGCTCACTGGATGTTTTTTCTTTTTCGGACCATTCTCTGTAAACCCTAGAGATGGTTGTGCGTGAAAATCCCAGTAGATTAGCAGTTTCTGAAATACTCAGACCAGCCCTTCTGGCACCAACAATCATGCCACGTTCAAAGTCACTCAAATCAACTTTCTTCCCCATACTGATGCTTGGTTTGAACTGCAGGAGATTGTCTTGACCATGTCTACATGCCTAAATGCACTGAGTTGCCGCCATGTGATTGGCTGCTTAGAAATTAAGTGTTAACGAGCAGTTGGACAGGTGTACCTAATAAAGTGGCCGGTGAGTGTATATATATATATATATATATATATATATAGTCTCAAATATACTTTATAATCAAACCATCATGACAGTGTAATTTCAATCTGTCATCATGATACCTGTGAAATGCAGAGCTGGTGCAGACATATCCACATCGCTATGATCAGATGCTTTCTTAACTGCTGTTTTCTCACCACAGAATTTTTGTGTGTTTATTTTATTTTGTTATTGAGAGGAAAGCGCGCAGCACATATTTACATATTCATCTAAACGTCGCTCTCAGCAGCGTGAGCGGCATCTGGATGTTCGTTCGTCACTTGAAACTTCGCCATGTCTGATGCATCATTTTTATTTCCTTATTTACCGTAAATACTTTTATGACCAAGTTAGTTGATCGGTAACCTATAGTGGGCTATGTGTGCCGACATGTTTGTGTAAACACAATACAGTGACAAAGTCAGAGCCAGTTGGATTTACAACACATAAATTCATCCACCTCAACCTAAAGATAAAAATTAGTGGCCGATCAAGTGGGAGAAGAAGAGTAAACTTTATAGCTACTACACAACGTGTTTGACATTTAAAAAAAAGCATGTTTGAAAGGTTATTTTTTCGATTATTGTCGCTTCCAAAGACATTGTTGTGTATTTCACGAACTATGAATGTTTTTACTAGTACATTTGTGTAATTGAAGATAACAAACAATTGTGATTTATGACAAGTGCTGAGCAAGTCTATCTCTTAAGGCCCGTTCACACCAAGAAAGATAACTATTAAAGATAACAATAACTATATTAACATCCACACCAGCGCACAATATCTTTGTTTATTATTAGGGCACTGCAGTTTTGTGGTCTGCCTCTTTAAATTCTCAAGTTCTTTAAAGCAGGATGGATTCTGATTGGCTGGAAAAAATCATTCTGAAATGGATTCCAATGACTTTGTGACATTATCGTTATAGTTGTGGTGTGGACTCTGCTATCGTTAGAGTTATTGTCCTTAGTGTGAACGGGCCTTTACTCAGCGGAGACCAAAGAGCAAAAGCAGATATGAATTTAGCAGTTCGTCACGTCACGTCGTGCACTGAACGTTCTGCATACATGTGTGATACGTTTGAAGGGTTATTACTCACAAGAAAAGCGGTAACTGATTGACTGGGCAGCACTAACTGAGACATTTCGTTCAAGTTTTTTTTTTAGAAATTAACTTATGGGCCGCATGAAATGAGCTGGCGGGTCGGTTTTGGCCCACGGGCCTTGTGTTTGACACATGTGATGGAAAGTATAATGACATGCTACTGCAAGATAAAAGTGTCTCTAGATACTACAGATCCTGAAACCTAGTATTTTCCAGGTCTAGCTCTCTAGTGATTGGCTGAAAATTTGATTGATCAAGGTGACATTCAACAGAATACAAAAGCTGCATCCCACTATCCAGTGTTATTGGTCTTAATATATGGTACGTGATGGTGATCTGTCCTATATAATAAAAATTAATGTGTGTGTGTGTGTGTGTGTGTGTGTGTGCTTGTGTGCATGCGTGCATTATAGGACAGATCACCATCACATACTATATAATATAACTATAAGAATAATAACATTGGAGAGCATTGGGATACAGGCTTTGTATTCAGTTGGATAGATCACCTTGATCAATCATATTTTCAAACAATCTCTAGAGAACTAGACCTAGAAAATTGGTTAGAGGTGAGTCATCCACATCTGAAACACACATTATCATCAGTGCTGGAGAGAAAGAGGCTTTTTATACATCAATCATGCATACATCTGTAAGTATCATTTAATGACATTAATAAATTGTATGAATCTAACAGTATAAACAGACATGCCTGTGTGTCTGCAAAGAATCACTGCATTCTCTCCGGCACTAATGACAATCTCTCATCCAGATATGAGTGACTCACCTGAAACCAATTTTCAAATCTCTGGTGATTGGTGGGGAACATGATGGAATGAGATGATGTATTAGACTCAACACTAGGCTTTGAATGCAAATTGTAAAACACAGATGCCTTTGGCTTTTTTAATAAAAAAAAAAGAGAACTATGCATGGAGGACACACTGCATATTACAGACTCAGACATCTCCGAACAAAAGAGCTGAAAGTGGAAAAATGATTCAGGCCACTAATAGTCATTTCAGAGGTGAAAACCGCAGATGCAATCAAGCCTCACCCGTGTGACTCCTGTGTACAACACCAGACTTCCATTGGCCTCAAGCACCAGCATAGCATGAATGTCCTTTCAAGAAATGAAGAACAAGAGGAAATTTAGGTCCTGATGATGACGACAGCAAAATGACAATGACACTTACAACTGACATTCAAGATTTACTTGCATTAAGTGTTTTTTATTTATTTATTGTTCATCATGAGAAGCAGCCAGATCTGATCACAATGAATTAGGTGAAATGTGACTCTACACAGAAACGGCATTTGCAACCCATTTTACATTGATTTTCTAATTTATCAGATGTTGAAAAGTGGGTGTTTGTCTATTAGTTAACATTAACCAACAAGAAACATGATTAACTTTCAGTAACTTAACTTCCAAATAGCACAGATGAATTATGCACAATAATAGCAGAAAAGTCTATTACGAAACTCGTTACGGTGTTCATTTCAAGTTCACTTTATTATTAATCTTATTGTGAACGATACATCCATGCATTTGTTTTGTTACTTTTTTTGACCTCGTAATTTAAATTAAAATGTCGCAATTTGAATTTCTGCAACTTCCTTAAAATCAACTGAGAGATCGCATTTGCCTCCATTTTTGAATGCAATGCCCACATCCATAGTCCTCTAATTCAAATACTCACCTCAAGAGGGGCGGCATCTTTTGCGGTGATAACAGTTACTGATGCAAATATCAGTTGAGAAGTTTCATTGCTCTCAAGAAATTTTACACACCTGCAAATAGCACACAAGAGATAATGTAGTTTAAGATTAGAAGCACTAGAGCTTTAATATAGTTAAATAACAAGAAAGCAAATCAGTCTTTCCCATTATTGTAGAAGCAAAATAAATAAATAAATAAGACACACATTCACCTGAGCTGCTGGTGGGACTCGACCAAGAAGCACAGGTACCTGTTCTCACACAGATCAGAGGTGATGAAGACTTTAGAGGCCTGGCAGCCTTTCTCCCTGTAACATGGACACAACACTGACTTCAGGACAAACATCAACAGTGACTTCATGCTCTCGGCTTATAAACACGGCGTAACAAAACTCAGCGGACCTGGAGATGGCGCTGGTTTCTGTCCACAGTTGCTCGATGCAGAGGTCTGGCAGAATGGGCTCCATCTCAGGCAGCAGGGCCGTGTCGTTCAGGGTGCTGTTGGGAGAGGCCAGGATGCTGTGGCCACGCGGGGACGGGGTGTGGCAGGACATGTTGAAACGCTGAGTTCCAGAGAAAGAGGGCACGGCGATGCCAGGGGAGTGAGCCCGACTGATGTAAAATTAAAGAGAAACCAAAAGAGCACATTTACCCATTTTGTATATTTCTTTCTTAACTTTTATTATATTCATTTATATTTCATATTTACACTAGCATTTAAAAATGTTTGGTCGGTATGACTTTTTGTTTTTGAAAAAAGTCTCATATTTATTTGATAAAAAATAAAGTAAAAACAGTAATATTGTAAAATATTACAATAATGTAAAATAATTCAAATATGCTGATTTGGTGCTCAAGAAACATTTCTTATTATTGTCAATGCTGAAAAAATATTTTTCTGAAAAATGTGACATTTTCTCTTTGATAAACAGTTCAAAAGAACAACATTTAACTGAAATCTTTTGTAACATTATAAATGCCTTTACTGTCACTTCTGATCAATTTAATGCATGCTTGCTGCAAAAAAAAACATTTTTTTTACTGCCCTAGTAGTGTATATGAATCATTTTTGCGTAAAAATCTTCTACTGCCTACATAACATTTACATAAACTGTGTACAATAAACATACCATAGAAAAGGCATGAGTAGTGTGGTGTTTCCCCATGTGTAGACATACCTGAGAGCAGCCATGTTTGAAATGCTAGGCGAGTGAACTCGAGAGTGCAGGGCCGGAGAGGCAGGAATTCGGCTCTGGTTGTGCAGAGCGGGGCAGTGCAGGGGCGAGGCGGGCGAGTCCAGCCGGTTCACGTTTCTCAGGTGGGTGCTGAGGAAGCTGGGGTTTGTATTGGGAGTTTGAACCGGCCCGGGCTGGTCTGGACACTTCAACACTGTGGTCTGCTCCTGCAAAAACCACAAGAACATGCAGAACAGGTGTAGATGTTAATCACTTTTTTTTTAAAATGTAGCACATTAAGTTCATGCACAAAATTCCTCTTTTAAGGAAAAAAAAATTAAATATCTATTAAAGATTATTTTTATTAGTACCACAGTAGTGCTCGGGTAGTTTTCTCATTAACATTATGGTGTGATTTGCTGCTAATTAGTGATATTTTGCTTCAATGACATTTGCTTCAAGATTCCCAATTACTTCACTTTAATTTACTTTATATTACCCATTGGTAAAAAATCTAAATAAACACCAGTGCTGGTGATCTTATTCAATCCAGTCTTTAGACAAGATTAGGTAAATGGTTTGACTGGATTAAAGATATTTAACACGGATAATGTGCCCCTATTATGCTACTTTAAAGGTTCCTCATTTTGCTTTGGAGGTCTCCTACAATAGGTGTACATGCAACTAAGGTAAAAAAAACACATTGCACCTCATTTCTCATTCTACTCTGCTCTGATTGGTCAGATGGCCAAGTATGTTGTGACTGGTCAACCACTTACAGTTACAGGGCATGTTAGAAACAAAACGCGTATAACCATATCTGAATTTCAGCTCCGAATCTTCCTCAGCACTTGATACAGAATGATACGAACAGTAACAATGGGCTTTGGAAGTGCATGCAAAGTGGATCCTCGGCGAAGAAAAAAAGCATCTTCTCGACATAAACAACACGAACCAAACTCTTCCAGTCTCAGCTACAACTACAGTGTTTGAGGGCGGGTCAAAGTAGACGTTGTTTGCAGGCGGCCAATGAAGACAGACAATTGTAACAGGAAGTGAGACTGAAATTGCTGACGACTCGTTTCAGGAGTTTTAGAATGAATTCTTTCTTTTAGGAGACAATAACTTTATTTGTTGTGCACTTTGATCTTTAAAACTTTGCAGAGAGACCATTTACATGATCAAGCAGCTATATTACACACTCCATGAAAGGTAAGATTCAAAACAAAACATAACTTTTTTAACATTTTTAATCTCAAACGTTAGAACATTGACCAGTTCTAATAATGATGTCATCCTCTAACCATTAACAAAAAAACATGAAAACAGGATATTTCATTATGACTGCATGAAGCAACCATACCTCAGGTGTGACTTTCCGTAGGGTCCAGACGGTGTGTGTGCACTGCTGCGTGTCGTACGTCATGATAATGGAGGGCTTGAGGCAAGTGAACACCACTCTCTGAGCGCTGTCTGAAAAATACTGGAGTCGGGCCTCAAACAGACCTGAACCAATGAGTGGGAACAACAAGAGCATCAACATATGACATATTCTGAAGTCAGAGATTGACAATACATCAGTGTCATTATTATAGAGTTAAAGGTGCTCTACGTAACTTTTAGCGGCCTCTAGTGGTGATGTTTCAGATTGCAACCAAATTTTACAAGAGCGCTCGTGCTCGAACTCATAGACAATACCGTCTATTACGCAAATATCTCGGCGAATACTAGACGGATTCGGCGAGCACCGAGCTCGTTGGGATCATCTAGTCGAGCTGAAAAGAACCATATAAGTTCCATAGTTTTTGGTGGTGTTTTCGCGGAGATATTAGCAGAAAACCATCGGGCGAGCTGCAAAATTGCGGACGCCGGTGACGTCACGATCTCAGAAGAAAATCGCTCGTATCTCTGGAACGCAAAGACCCAGAGAGCTCAAATTCGGGGGAGGAGGTCCCAGGGGAACCCTTGCCCGAAGCTAGAGTGGCGGGCCTCGGGGATGCCCCCTACCGGATCGCCGTTCGCTGGGACCCCCGATTTCTAACTGCTATATCTCGGGGAGCCGGGCGAGTTGGACCTCGGGGGTGGGCTCGTTCGAAAGGCCCCGTCCAGCACTACGAACGATTAGAGTCTTGGGAATATTGATCAAAGATTGACTGAGATATAAGCCGAAAAACGTGCGCCTTTAACCGGGCGTAACTCCCTGACCTACAATAGACTGTATATAAGGAGAGAGGCTCGGGAGCGCGCATGCACGTCACATCCGTTGGATTTCGCTGTAAATCCGACCCGGAGACTTCACATAGAAATAGGAATACTGGCCTTCAGAGGTAATAGCAAAACTCGACAAGTGGATCATTTTAATGTGTGATTACAACCCCTTCACACACAGGCAATAAAAAAAGGATTCATTTTAGTAGAAAAGTTACATAGAGCACCTTTAATTCAATGGTGTCCAAAACTAACACTTTCCAAGTGCCAAATGTATGCTATCCGATCGTGAAAAGACCAGGTGTAAATGCCCTCCGAAACGATCTGCGTTTACATGGTTCAATCGGAATGAAATCAATCCTATTGATGAATCCGAACATGGTGTTTACATGAACGATAAATAAAGTAATCGGGTTGATGTGCGCGTTTATATGTCACAAGATTCAAATCGGAATTGATTTTTTGACATGCGCACACTGCACGAATATGCCGCTGTTCGCGCATAACTATTCTCCTCTATTGGTTCTTTATTTGTTTTAAACAGCAGACTTAATATTTATCCGTCTCTGGTCATGATTTGGAGACGATGAGCATGAACCGTTTTGCCGTGCTGCTTATATTGATCACGCAGTAAAACCCCGCGCCCAAAACCAGTCGTCCATGGATGATAATCTGAAACAAGTCGTCAATCCGATTATAAGTGTCCATGTAAACGCAGCTACTCACACCACTTTAGGAGGTGGTTTAAGATGCATTCTGAAGTGAAACTGGACAAGTGTAAATGCATCTGGTTGTTGAAGCCACATCTATTAATTTCATTCCTCCCAAAATTGTAAAAAAATAAAATAGATGTGACAACGCTACTGCAACACGCATGATACCACAGACGAGAGTAGCCTCAGCAGACGAGCAGACTGGCTCAAATGAAAATGTTCGGCGTCGCATTCTGAATCTCAACGCAATCCTCTTCATTAAAAATGCTAAATTATTATGAGACTAAATTATCTTACCAGTGCTGATACCGCTCTCTCTTATTGCAGTCTCTGATCTTGAAATTAGGTAGTAATAAATTAAATGCAGCTCATATCTGTTGCTTTTGTTGACGTGAACAGAAACTGAAGATCAGATTTTTATTTATTTTGTGGAAATACATTTATGAGGCCAAGTGTAAATGGAACAGTTTTTACAAATTGTAAAACTATACGATCAATAAAAATGCATGAAGTGACCAGATGTAAAAACGCCCTAATATGCAAGAAACACTATTACTCAATCTCAATATATAACTGTAATTAGAACAAAATGTCATTAATTTAAATAATACTAAATATAGCTTCATGGCCACTGTAAAGAAATATTTCATATCACTTGCCATTGACAGGTAGGTAATTTTAGACCATGGGTCTCAACATTAATCCAATAAATGTTAATTTAATAAATGGTCTTCTTAAATATGGCTTAAATGGATAAGTTCCAAGACAGAGGAACACGGAGAACACAAGTGCGAAACCATGAGACTTTGTGTGTCATAGTGGAAAATAATTAATAATTGCACCAACATTTAAAAAACAACAAAAATGCAAATGATTGCCAAATCTTAAACATTCCTTCGTGCTGTTATTGTTATAAAATAAAATAGTTGTCTTTGGCAACTAACTGAAATAAAATAAGTTGAAGTTTGAAGTTGAAGTACTAAAAACTAATTTAAAATATTAATAAATCATATAAGTCATAAAAAATACTAAAATAACACTAATAAAGTATCTGTCTTACCGCTGGACTTACAAACAACAGGAGCGATTTCATCTAAGGGATGCAGCATGCTGAACAGGGTCGGGAGAGGTTCCCTGATAACAAGATTCAAATCACTTAACACCATATTCAAACAAGCATTCTTTTACAACGCTCAAATATAAGCACTTACAGTACTAACACTCTGCATGTTGAAACATAAATAAATCAATAAATACCTGATGGGGCTCATGGGGACGTCAACTGTAATATTTTTGCGCTCCAAAAGCAGACCAAACTTTGTTGACCAGAGAGCGGAGACCTACAAACGAAACCCAGTAACAGTCGATCAAGAGAAAGACGGAACATTACAACTTTTCAGCTGATGGAAAATAGTATTTATGCAAGGATTATAGACAGAAAAAGGGCATTGTTACTAAGCAACAACTATATTTACAATAGCAGAGTATTCAATGCTGTATTGCTTGTATTCAATCTAGACATTTTTACAAACAAATGAAAAATGGAAAAATGCATTGTGCAATGCAAAAGTTTCAGGCTCCCAGTTCCAGTCCCATTTCCCTTATGCCCATTTGAACGCATAAGTCTGAAAATTTTAGAAAAAGCCTCTGGGAAAACATGCCAGAATATGCTTGAGTAAAATAAAGCCAGCATTAGTCAAAACTGTAAATTTGCGCTGTCTAAATACTGTTACTAAAACCAAAACCGCCCCCCTTTCCTGTCTGCGTGCCAAATAACCCATTATGCCTCATGAAATGGACAACTACCACACATAATCAGTCACTGAGCTAAAAAAGACAGTCAGGCTGAATAAATCCCAAACGTTCTGCCCGTGACAAAGGCTCTGCTGCAAACACACAGGGCTGATACAGCCATTTAAACCAGATTTGTGAGCAAGGCCTCTGTCAATTGTTTTTAGACATAGATGTACTGTGGAGAAACCCAACAGACACAGACATTAAGCATTCTGACCTGGAAGGGGAGTGGAGATATGAAGTCTTTGCCACTCATGCTGTGAACGTTCACACAGGTACTCTGGACAATACACACCGTCTGCTCCACAACATCCTTTACTGGAGATTATGAGGAAAAATGATCACTCGACAACTAAAAAGACCCAACATCGTATACTTGCTACTGAAGCAATTAAGCATTTAAAATGCAATAAAGTAATATATAAATAATAAGCAAAAAATGTTTTCGCTTGTGTGGCAACAATAATATAACAACACAAAATTATAAAATTCTTACCATCTTTTTTAGACTGAGGAACGGTGAAATGACACCATAGAGCCTATAAAACAATAAGTGAAATTATATTATACTGAATTATAAAAACTATGAAAAGTGATTCTTAATACACCAGCCCCAAAAAGTATTTGGGCACTTCTAAAATGTCTATACACTACCGTTCACTGGTGTCAGTAGGTTTGTTTGTTGGGGGGGGGGGGTACTTTTATTCAGCAAGGATGTATTAAACTGATCAAAAGTGATAGTTATAAGGTTACAAAAGATTTCTATTTCAAATAAATGGCGTTTCTATTTATCAAAGAATCCTGAAAAAAAAATCTGTCAGTTTCCTCTGAAATATGAAGCAGCACAACTGTTTTCAACATTGATAATAATCAGAAATGTTTCTTGAGCAGCAAATCATCATATTAGAATGATTTCTGAGGGATCGTGTGACACTGAAGACTGGAGTAATGATTTGATCACATGAATAAAACATATTACAGTAGAAAACACTTATTTTAAATTGTAAAAATGTTTCACAATATTATTGGATTTCTTCAGCTGTTTTTGGATCACATAAATGCAGCCTTGTCTAGCAGAAGAGACTTTGGTCAAAAATATAAACAAACCTTACCAACCCTAAACTTTTAAATGGTAGTGTATAGAATCGATTGTTTTACATAAAAAATACCAAACGGTAATTATTATATTTTCTCACTTTACCCAGGATTGGCTTGGAAAAGTGAGCTTTATTCTGAGAAAAGGTCTAGCACACGTTAGATAGTACCTGCTGAACTGGGCTGTCCACCGTGAAGGCCTTGTACACATATGAGGCTTGATTCTTACTGCCACGACTCCATATGACCATGTTTCCAGCCACATACAGCTCCTCCTCATATTCAACCTCATCAGGAGCAGTTCCCTTCCTCAGCCGCCAGCGCTCCTGCCAATCACACCATAATCACACTTAAAGGGATAGTTCACCAAAAAATTAAAACTCTGGCATTAATTACTCACCCTCATGTCGTTCCAAACCTGTAAGACTTTCGTTCGTCTTTGGAACAAAAACGAAGATCTTTTTTGATTAAATCTGAGCAATTTCTGTCCATTCATTGAACCAATGAGGTTCATTCTCGTGTTACGCATCAGGTTCGGTTGAGCTTCTGTTTATGTTCTCTGATCAATGTTTATATGTGAATAAAAGCCTAAATTAAAACCGTTCATCATATAAAGTGATCGAGACTCTAGGGCTGTCAACTTTAGTCGTTTAGTCGACTAATTGGTCGACTGACATTCTCATTGGTCGACCAGTTGCATTTTTTTTTTTTTTTTTTTATAGAAAGAAATTTTCATTGATTTACTCCTTGAAATGTATTCCTTTATAAGCAGTTATATATTACTGCATTCTAAATATAATTAGCCAATGTTTTATCAATGGTTTTATCCCCAACTTTAAATGCTGTAATTTAGGCTATTTTCAGCGCCACAGTTTAGCGCACCACGTAAAACACTCGGGAACCGCACATGTGGCTGGCTGCACTGCTGCTGCGGCGCGGACGCGCTTGGAAAAAACGAGCGCGTCGCACCGCGACAGCGTCGCTTCCATTATGAGCGCGCATAACGTGCGCCTACATTTGAAATAACGAACTTGAGCGCGCAAAAGACGCGATATGTGAGCAGGCCCTTTAACGCCTTTATTATGCTGACTCAATAGATTGTGTTTTCTTTTGTTTTTGTTTGTACATTTGACATTTGAAAATAGCCTAAATAATGTAACAAAACGAAAATAAACCTATATGCCTTCCTACTATACAGCCTATTATTATTAGGATTGTTTTATAGGCTATTTGGGTTTTTTGTGTGTTTGTTTTAAAACGCCTAGATCGGCTGGACAAAAGTTAACCCATAGCTTTGAAAGTAAAGAAGAATATACAGCCTGTATAAACAAAAGCTTTTTTCATTATTTGGCAGTTTTAGCAGTTATATTTTTTGTAGCGTGTGGTGTGGTCAGGTGCACGATTGTGACTGTCACTATAGACCTAGGACAGAGCTCCTCACTTTGCAGTTAAAAAAATCACTTAATTTTCAAAGAATTGTATTATTATTATAGTTTTATGTATTATTTATGTTTTTCGTTGTTGTTTTATAAATGCTCTATGACAATTGTTTAATAAATGTTTATTCAAATTTTTTATTTTTAGTCGACTGATCGTTGCGCAGGACAGGACTTTGGTCGACTAAGGATTTCTTTGGTTGACTACAGCCCTACGAGACTCTTCAGAAAATTGACTAAACTGCTCAATTCATATGGATTAGTTTTACGATCTCTTTATGAACTTAAAGTCAAAAGTCAAAACGTCAAAGTGGTAGTTGTGTAGCGGTCAATATAGGGACAAAAATCTCTCCGATATAACATCAAAACAATCTTCATTTGTGTTCCGAAGTTGAACGAAAGTCTTACAGGTTTGAAAAGACGTGAAGGTGAGTAATTAATGACAGAATTAAAATTTTTGGGTGAACTAACCCTAGAAAACATTTAGTATTTTAATTAACAAAAGTTTGCTTTCACTTTAAGGAAAAAGGGCAGTGCAAAACATCTCTTTGGTGTTCCACAGAACAAAGAGTCATATGAGAAAAACTACCTTCTCTCGCTCCTGTAGAGTGACCTCCTGAAGGGATCCCACGAGCCCAGCCGCCCCGTCAGAGGACCAGAGCTCAGAGGCCGGCTGGAGCTGCCGCAGCTGGAGATTCACGGCATTCGGGTGATTTTTGCAGTGCTCACGACCAAATGGGACAAACGACTGCAATTCGCCTGCGGCTATCATTGTGGCTCTCTCTTCATAGATGTGCGACATGAGTTCCCAATATCAGCATTATTTCTGTGAAACACAAGGACATAGAAAAAAAAACTGTGTTATTGATACAGAATGGGTTGACATTTATGTTTGGCAGCAAATTAAGTCTGCATTATTGATGACCCCATTTGTATCATATATTATACAACATATAATATCTCAAACATCTTTTCAAAAACACCTTTTTGAGCACATGTTTATTTGTTAATTTTGACATTGCTGCTGTTTTTCACAAAATATGACTCAGTGCTCAATGAAGCACATAAAAAATAGGTGACTGAATGTGCATTTTTTGTGAAAAACAGCATAAACATCCAAAACACAACCAAATGAACAAGGTTGTGCGAGAACTTATATGTTGTAACATTAGATAATATATATATATATATATATATCTTTGAAATTGCATTATAATTGTATTATACTTAATATAATAGTAAGCCAGCATTATATAATAACTGTCCATCTGTCTATACATGTCTTTCTTTCAGTTTATATGACAAAACATCTGTGCATATATCCACCTATCAATCTATCTATCTAGCAGACATACGCATATGTAATCTATCTATCATTCTATCTGTCTATAGTTCTATCTATTGTTTTATCTATCCATTGCTGTCTGTCTGTCTATCTATCTATCCATCGTTCTGTCTGTCTATCTATCAGCACAGAACACACACATATAATATTTCTTTCCATCCAACATCTGTCTGTCAATCTATCAGTATATTTCATGCACTGTCAGCTGTCCACCTAAAATCACCACACAAAGCAAAATTTCATCAGCTGCAGACAAAAATAAAACATTTACTGCAGTTGTTATGTATCAGTGACAGTTACATTTGTTACGGCATGCGATTAATTCATTACTTAATGAATTCTGGGGAATTCCTTTAGTAAATTCCTCAATTACACTGCAAATGACCTCTTATCTTTTGTTTTTGCTTGTAACGTGTAACAGTGTTTAGAGGAAAAACACGAAACTTTCTATATTTCAGTTAGACTGTCATCCTGTCAGCATTAGCAGCCGAGCTAAGTTACTGCTAACATCCGCTCAAATCTTCACCTGCTAATAACAAATAGTCGATCTTCCTGTCCTGGAGTGCGGTCCTTCCCTTTGACAGATGCCTCTCCCACTGCAATCGCCTGCTTGTTGAGCCCAACATACAAACACATCAAAGTATGCAGTGAAAACCGATCGAGCAGAGCACACTACACTGTTTCAAATGAACGCGGACATGTTGTTATCCCGTGACGCACTTCCGAACTTCTGACCAATCAGAGAGCTGCGTTCTGGAAGCGCTTTCGCACGCATCTGTCTGGCCTACAAGGTAAAGTGATGGTGCTATCATTCACTGTATCATGGCTTTAGCTTGGTTTTTCGATACATGCCGTGGATTACCATGGTACTTTACACAATACCATAGTATTATCACGTATATGGCCAAAAAATAATAATAATTTCGTGGTGCATGTCCAAAAAAAAAAACCAGTATCTTGGCAGTATTTTTCTTTAAGAAAGGTGTCAACATTGAAAATAATATATTTTATTTGTATCCTTTGTATGGTATGTGGACTGAAAGCAGGGAAAAACACTGGACAGGTGGCCAGTACCCCTATCTTTCTATAAAATGTAAAATAGGAATATTAAATAGATGTTAAATGCTAGTTCGAGATCTATATTTAAATATTAAATTACATATGACCATTACATGAGGCCTTTGATCGATCATTTTCAAAAAATAAATACAAAACCTGTCGTAATTGAAAGAAAACAAGTTGACAAAAAGATTGAATCCCATATTTGGTGATAATAGCAATAACAAGAGATTTTATACGCTTTTCTTTGTTGTAGGCCGGTCATTTTTGACCAGGAACACCCACAAGTGGGACTTTGTTCCATTTTGTACAAAACAAACTTCCTGGTTCAACAATAAAGCTATGAGATAAACAGCGCAAATTATTTTGTTGAATATTGACAAAATTGTCCACAAATAATGCTTTTTTCACCCAAAAACTGAGGTGCATAAGCTCAGATCAATGAGGCCTACAATCAATCAGTTCCAAAAAGAAATACAAAACCTGTGCTAATTGAAAGAAAAGTTGACAAAAAGATTGAATCCAATAATTGGTGATAATATGGCATAACGAGCGATTTTCAAGCCATTTTTAAAAGGCCGGTCATTTTTGACAGGGAGCATCACAGGTGTTATAGGGTTTTCAAAACAACGTAAGGGTTAAAATTACGGCCATTTAATTTGTTAAGTCTTTCAAATATTTATTTATTTAAATTTTTAAGACATCTTGAGCCCCCATTGGAAGTTTACTACCCTGTAATAGCCTACACGTCTGTGTGAGTGCCTGTATAAAGACATTCATGTTAACACGGGACAGCACAGATATTGATTCATTTTTATTTGCACTGATGATTACACTTCTGATGTTACTGCCTCTTAGGATTAATCGACTATGTTGTTGTATTCTTCATTAGTAAGCTGATTCGGATAAAAGTGTATGCTAAATGAATTTAAGTAAATGTTAAACTCCACAAATCTGCTTTACAGCTTCATACAAATGATAATGACAAAATATTTTGTATGTAATGTTGATAAAAGAATAAATAAATATTTTTATTGCATAGCTATGATTTCGAATACCACCCATATTTATTCTCTGAATATTGGCGATTTCTTAATCATGAACAAAACAATTGCATAGCAACAAGCACACTAAAACCTAAAGCCACAGATTATTAATAACACTTTTCTATTAGCTCTCCAAGGCTGCTGGTCATAATAAGTTGAATTTGAATTGTCATGGCACAGAAGAACATAGTAGTGACTCTGGAGAAAACTTGCTTGACATTTGATGCAAGCATTGTACTATTTTTATGCATGCTGTAGAAAAGGTATTCATATTTTGATATGTATATTTGTTTTGCAATCAACAGAGAAATAGATTTTGTTTGAGTGAAACCAATAGAGGTTCTGAGGTGGTATTGAATTTAAGGCATTTTATTTCCCATAAACTCTGACACAATAGAGATGGATGTGTTGAGATCAATATGAATTCAATATAGAGAATAAAGGTTGCACGGTTCCTCTATAGACTTGCAGAGATTCCTAATGTACACTAGATAGTGTGTGACTGAATGAATGTGTGTTGTCATCTCACTCGATTATTTTTCAATAAAACTCCTCCCTCTCACACATATGGGAAGCACCACCTCAGATTGTTTCTGTGTATTACTAAACCCGAGTCTTTCCACTGCATGCACAGCTAACTTTAGTTAAATTGGCAATATCGAATGCAGAACTACACAATATGACAGAGTTGTGTGGAGAAAATATTTCGCCAATGACTGAGAGCTGTCACATCCATGTCCGACTCAAGAGCATGGGCAATGGGAAGAAACTGCGTGATGCTCATGTGTGAGATGACGTACGGAAAACAGTCAGTGTGCAAAGATGAAACTATTAGTCATAGGACAACACAGAGGCTTGAAATATTCTATGGCAATCAGTGTTAATTATTCAGTTGTGCATAAATGTGTCTGTGTACAATATTTTTCCATTCTAGATGGATGGATGGATGGATGGATGGATGGATGGATGGATGGATGGATGGATGGATGGATAGATGGATGGATAGAACGATAGAGATAGAACGATAGATAGAACGATAGATAGATAGATAGATAGATAGATAGATAGATAGATAGATAGATAGATAGATAGATAGATAGATAGAACGATAGAACGATAGATAGATAGATAGATAGATAGATAGATAGATAGATAGATAGATAGATAGATAGATAGATAGATAGATAGATAGATAGATAGATGGATGGATGGATGGATGGATGGATGGATGGATGGATGGATGGATGGATGGATGGATGGATGGATGGATGGATGGATGGATGGATGGATGGATGGATGGATGGATGGATAGAACGATAGATAGATAGATGGATGATAGATAGATAGATAGATAGATAGATAGATAGATAGATAGATAGATAGATAGATAGATAGATAGATAGATAGATAGATAGATAGATAGATAGATGGATGGATGGATGGATGGATGGATGGATGGATGGATGGATGGATGGATGGATGGATAGAACGATAGATAGATAGATGGATGATAGATAGATAGATAGATAGATAGATAGATAGATAGATAGATAGATAGATAGATAGATAGATAGATAGATAGATAGATAGATAGATGGATAGAACAATAGATAGATAGATAGATAGATAGATAGATAGATAGATAGATAGATAGATAGATAGATAGATAGATAGATAGATAGATAGATAGATAGATAGATAGATAGATAGATAGATAGATAGATAGATAGATAGATAGATAGATAGATAGATAGATGTACTTCTTTTTTAAATGCATTTCTATCATTAAATAAATATAATTTAGATTGAATTGCATGTACTACGCTAAATAAACCCCCTAATGCGATTGGCCGAGAGGAGTGACGGTCTCGGGAGGATGATGCTGTTGTCTTTAGCTTTGATTACAGATCTAATGATGCTCTGATAGCATTATTGAAGCTAATGTCCTCCGTGTGGCCAGATATACAGATGTATTTACTGGATTAATCTGGATGCACTTAAGGGTTTGTCTAACTGATCCGTCACAGGGTTTTTGGGCCGCAGTATAAAGATATTGACAGATCAGAACTGACTCTTCCTCTATATGAATTTCAAGACAAATAAATAAACTAAATATTACAAGCCTAACATCAACATATTGATTCATTTAGAATTTCTTAAAACCCTTTCAGTTTGTTAGAGGTCCTTAAAGACGTTTTATTAAATTTTTTTGACAGAAGCAACGACAGGAAACGATAAGAAAAGGAGGGAAGGGGATCAGGAAATCACATGAGACTTGAACCTGCAGTTTGTTAAGTCAAGCATCTTTATTTCTATTGCTCATATTTGGTGTTACGGATTTAAACAACTCCCTAACGCTATATTAAACTACGCCATCTAATTGATCCAGATAAAGGAAGTCTCACACTTAGATTCTGTCTAGATGCTAGAGTGAACACAGAACAGAGACTGAAATTGTTTTTGTCAACTTGATTTATTGGCATCACATCTGCAATCTGCTTCCCTCATTAATCACTTCTTCATCCACAAGCATCCAGACCCAGAAAACAGCCTTCCAGATCAAATCATTAGAATGCTGTTCAGGTCACAGGTCGAGTGGTCACTGTTACTGCAGAGAAATGTGTAAACCAGGACAATGAGGACAGTCCTAATGCGAGGCCAACGGCTAACATAATATTGCTGAGAATAAATGACGACTTTTCAAAGTAATGAGTGATCAGGACAACCATCTCTAGGGTCTTAGTGGACACTTATGCATATAAACATTTCCTGTGTTGATGCTTTAAAAGAGTCTGGTTTATGTCACTAGCAGCTCTCCACAACTGACCATGTTTGTTCATTATTTTGGCAGTGATGTATTTAATGCAGAGAATGATGCTGTTAGCAAAGGGATTGAACCGGGGTTAAGATGAGGGTAGACTACAGTAGCCCGTGCAAAGATATCCTTAATCATATCCATTCGCTTATGTTTGTTTAAAATAATCTCTCTGTATATCTATCTATCTATCTATCATCTATCTTCATATATATCTATATATCTTTCTTTCTCTCTGTCTGTCTATCATTCTGTCGTTCTATCTATCTATCTATCCATTCTTCTGTCTATCATCTATCTATCTGTCTATCTATCTATCTATCTAGCATCTATCTAGCATTCTATCTATCCATTGTTCTGTCACGGTGAGACACGGAGATGAACCCAAACGCAGACAGTATAAAATAAGACACGGTTTAATGACAAAAACAGGAAAACAAAACCCATGAGGGGGCAAAACAGATGGAACACAGAATACCAGACTGACTAGACTAAACTGGGAAACAAATGAACAAGAAAACAAACAAGACTTCAAGAGATGCTAACAATGACTAGATGTACACAGGGTACTCACGATCAACGTATAACAATGAACCGACACAAGACAGCAAACACAAGGGGATTAAATAGGAAGACTAATCAAACATAACAGGTGACATGGGTGAAACACTAATGACAGAATCAGGATAACAAGGGGGCGGGGTAACGAGACGAGACAACACAAGCACATGACCAAAACACAAGGCCATGTGCTTGCACACAGAACATGGGTCTGTCATGATCCTGCCAAAATACTAGAACTCACAGACCTGATGGCAGAATCATGACAGTACCCCCTCCTTAAAGAGCGGCTACCAGACGCTCCCTAAGGAGACATTAAACGCGGGACAAGACTGGCAGAGACATAGACCAGACCCAACAAAACATGACAAATAATAACAGGGGCATACAAGCGTGAACAATGACCGGGTTGGGGTGAAACATCAGAAAAAATAAACAAGGAAGGGGAGGCGGAGGGACAACAGAGTCTTTGAGCGAGAATCCAGGGTGGGTGGGCGGGACGGTGATCTTGGAACTACAGGGTGTGGGCTTAGGACGGGGGACCCGAACGGACTTGGGTGGAGTGGTGTGAGTAGACGGAGAAACAGTCCTAGGTTGAACCATGACGGGGGAAACAAACGGGAGTCCGGGGGCAGTAGAGACAGGGACACACGAGGAGACAGTCCGGGGACTTCTGACGGGGAACATGGTTGGTGACGGGACAGGACTGGGTGCCGCGCTCACGGCGACGGGCTCTGGAACAGCGCTTGCCGTAGCGGGCTCTGGAACAGCGCTTGCCGTAGCGGGCTCTGGAACAGCGCTTGCCGTAGCGGGCTCTGGAACAGCGCTTGCCGTAGCGGGCTCTGGAACAGCGCTTGCCGTAGCGGGCTCTGGAACAGCGCTTGCCGTAGCGGGCTCTGGAACAGCGCTTGCCGTAGCGGGCTCTGGAACAGCGCTTGCCGTAGCGGGCTCTGGAACAGCGCTTGCCGTAGCGGGCTCTGGAACAGCGCTTGCCGTAGCGGGCTCTGGAACAGCGCTTGCCGTAGCGGGCTCTGGAACAGCGCTTGCCGTAGCGGGCTCTGGAACAGCGCTTGCCGTAGCGGGCTCTGGAACAGCGCTTGCCGTAGCGGGCTCTGGAACAGCGCTTGCCGTAGCGGGCTCTGGAACAGCGCTTGCCGTAGCGGGCTCTGGAACAGCGCTTGCCGTAGCGGGCTCTGGAACAGCGCTTGCCGTAGCGGGCTCTGGAACAGCGCTTGCCGTAGCGGGCTCTGGAACAGCGCTTGCCGTAGCGGGCTCTGGAACAGCGCTTGCCGTAGCGGGCTCTGGAACAGCGCTTGCCGTAGCGGGCTCTGGAACAGCGCTTGCCGTAGCGGGCTCTGGAACAGCGCTTGCCGTAGCGGGCTCTGGAACAGCGCTTGCCGTAGCGGGCTCTGGAACAGCGCTTGCCGTAGCGGGCTCTGGAACAGCGCTTGCCGTAGCGGGCTCTGGAACAGCGCTTGCCGTAGCGGGCTCTGGAACAGCGCTTGCCGTAGCGGGCTCTGGAACAGCGCTTGCCGTAGCGGGCTCTGGAACAGCGCTTGCCGTAGCGGGCTCTGGAACAGCGCTTGCCGTAGCGGGCTCTGGAACAGCGCTTGCCGTAGCGGGCTCTGGAACAGCGCTTGCCGTAGCGGGCTCTGGAACAGCGCTTGCCGTAGCGGGCTCTGGAACAGCGCTTGCCGTAGCGGGCTCTGGAACAGCGCTTGCCGTAGCGGGCTCTGGAACAGCGCTTGCCGTAGCGGGCTCTGGAACAGCGCTTGCCGTAGCGGGCTCTGGAACAGCGCTTGCCGTAGCGGGCTCTGGAACAGCGCTTGCCGTAGCGGGCTCTGGAACAGCGCTTGCCGTAGCGGGCTCTGGAACAGCGCTTGCCGTAGCGGGCTCTGGAACAGCGCTTGCCGTAGCGGGCTCTGGAACAGCGCTTGCCGTAGCGGGCTCTGGAACAGCGCTTGCCGTAGCGGGCTCTGGAACAGCGCTTGCCGTAGCGGGCTCTGGAACGGGCACTGGGTTCAGCTCCGAAACACCGAACACCGGCCTCTCTAAGATCCGAGCCAGACGCTCCAGATAGTCCCAGCTCAGGAAGGCAGACGGGGCGTGAACAGTCTCTAGCTGGACAGACGGGACGTGAACTGGCTCTGGCTGGGCAGACGCAGGTCTCCTCTTCTTCCTCCTGATTCGCGGAGCCGATGATGCCTTGGGAGTCGAACTGGGACGAGTCTGTTCTCCAAGCCTCACGAAGCCTAACCTCAGATCCTCCGGGATCACCGGCAGACAGGCAGGAGGTGACGACACCATAGGACCCTGTGACTCCCGACGAACCAAGCAGTCCACCATGTCCCGGAACGGGCGGTGGGCCAGCCTCTCCCGTTCCGCCAGAGGTGGAGGAACTTTGAGACCCGCGATGAGGTAACGGTTAACCAGGCTCTCCGGTAAAAGATTTCTCTTTGCCTCCACGGCCTGAGCATATCCTCTCAGGGACCTCTCTCCCTGGGGAGGGAAAGGAAGCTTGCCCAACTTGCTGTCGTTGATAGCTGACTGCCACCATAGTTCCTGGTCAGCTGATTGTTGTCTTAGTGGGGATGACATACTGTCCGCTGGGTTCAGAATGGGTCGGTTCATTCTGTCACGGTGAGACACGGAGATGAACCCAAACGCAGACAGTATAAAATAAGACACGGTTTAATGACAAAAACAGGAAAACAAAACCCATGAGGGGGCAAAACAGATGGAACACAGAATACCAGACTGACTAGACTAAACTGGGAAACAAATGAACAAGAAAACAAACAAGACTTCAAGAGATGCTAACAATGACTAGATGTACACAGGGTACTCACGATCAACGTATAACAATGAACCGACACAAGACAGCAAACACAAGGGGATTAAATAGGAAGACTAATCAAACATAACAGGTGACATGGGTGAAACACTAATGACAGAATCAGGATAACAAGGGGGCGGGGTAACGAGACGAGACAACACAAGCACATGACCAAAACACAAGGCCATGTGCTTGCACACAGAACATGGGTCTGTCATGATCCTGCCAAAATACTAGAACTCACAGACCTGATGGCAGAATCATGACATGTTCTGTCTATCATCTATCTATCTGTCTATCTATCTATCTATCTATCTATCTATATATCTAGCATCTATCTAGCATTCTATCTATCCATTGTTCTGTCTATCATCTATCTGTCTATCTTTCGTTCTATCTATCTATCGTTCTATCTATCCATTGTTCTGTCTATCATCTATCTGTCTATTTATCTATCTATACATCTATCTATCTATCATTCTATCTATCAATTTTTCTGTCCATCTATATATAAAAAACTATTTGTGTAGAAATCCATATAATATTCCCTTTAATGGTTTTTAAGATCAGTTCCAAATTTAGGAGAAAAAAAAAGGAATTTTGTGCAGGAATTATTTTTTTACTTGGGAAGTCATGCTAGGTTTATTGTTTCATGTTTCATGTTTATTGTTTCATCTCTTCTTTTACCAAAAAATGCATCCATGCAAACAAATATCCAATAAATGAATCACCAGGAATGACACAAAACATTCTGAGCAATCACAAACTTGATTTCACCAGTGTGTGTGTGTGTGTCTGTGAAGTGTGCCTGCCGACCAATGACGAACACATCCATCCCAATGGGACTTTCTTCGTGACGTATTAACACAAATCAGATCTGATTGTCTTCCTGTCTGATGGAAAGTATTCAGACATATAAAACGGGGCGAGGGGTGAGACTATTCAAAGAGACACAAGACCGCGAAAAGGAACTTTAAAAACCACCTGGTCACTTTGGGAGATTTGACTGGAGGCATTTCAGGACCCCGATCAGCGCGCGGATCACATCACCATCGCACATGTAAGTTCCTTTGATTTTAATATTTGTACATTTACCATAGTCACTTTTTACATTCATTTAGACTAGTTTTATTTAAAAAACTCAAGAAATTGCTTGGCATATACATTAATTAATGTCCACTGAAACAGTTTAAGTAATATTTTCTTAATTAGTATTTTCTATACAAACTAATCTTAAATTGTTTTAGGCAAAGCAAAAACTCTTATAATGTATCAAATGGAAATATCTTCTATAAAGAAGCCCCTTTTAATTATGATGTATGCGGAAAAGAGTGCACATTTTAAGTTAGTTTTTGCAAATGCCTTTACAATTGCATTCAAGCTTTAAAATGCATTTACATGTGATTGTTAATTAATGCAATGTTAAATCACAGTATGTATTCATGTATGCACAGGTGTAAAGCAATGCTCGTGAGGAACGGCTCTCAGATTTTGCTCTTCATAACTCTCTCCAGTGTTTTATATGCCCGGACCTTAAGTTTACCCTTCGCCTCCATGAGGTAAGAGCTTTATTCTTTGAAAGCACGCGAATTAAACAAAATTCCTAACTCCTTTGTAAGGTTTTAAAGCATTTTAGGATATATATCGGAATATGAGCGCGCGCTGTCCGCGCCATCAGAGCAGTGCGCGCGCAGGTGACTGAATCGCATCAGAAAAGAAAACAAGAAAGACGATTTAAAATAAAAACACGGTAAAGACAGAAAAGAAAGTTATTTATGTTGTCTTATTGGATATTTAAGTAGGTAAAATACATTTTTGATACGCTGTAATGTATGAACCAATCAAGTAGGGAAATACCGATTTAGTTTACACGCTGTTTCAAATAGGCAACCAAATTAAAAATGTCTGTATTCGTAAGTTATTTAAATCACCTCCAAGTGCTTGAAATCGTTAGTAGCTCTTACACAAACATGCAACAATTACCATGTTAACCATAGTTTCCGGGAAAATAGTTCTTATAGAATCTTAATTACGAGTTCTTCAAGAAGCTTTTAGAATATTTACGTTTTTAGTTTAACTGGAATTTTGATGGAAACTGAGACAGACATTGCTCGAAAGCTTTCATATAATTAAAACAAGCATCTTTTATTACAACTTAGTGCTATAAGAGCAACTGAAATAGACTGTCATTCACTGGTTTCTAGAGTAAAGTTGGTTATTGCAGTTGTGAAATGATTGGTTCTGTCTGTGCAGAGAAACAAGACACGCAGACGGGCTCTTCACAAGCGGATACAGTAAACTTCTCGGACAGTTATCTGCCAGACGGTACCTGGAGTCATTGATTGGAAAGCGAGTCAGGTACATGAACCCTTTTTTTATGCCAATGCATTCGGGTCTCTAACATGATCCATAGCCATGCTGGAACCAGCCTAAGGGGATTCGATGGTTTTCACTGGTCCCAAAACCATTAAACCAGACCTGAATAGTGGAAACCAACTTGATGGCAAACTAAAACCATCCATTATCTCAGACTGGTTTTAGAAGAAAGAGTTTTGAGATGTTTTAATAGGAAGAGAAGAAATCAGATCATCTAATAAGGAGACAGATCAATTAAACTTGGTGTAACAGGAATTATATTTTGATTATCGTTCAATATAATCACCAAATTTAGATGCAAAGAAAGATGTTTTCTGCTTTAATGGATTGTTTATCCATATGACTCTGATCAATCTAAAAATGTCCATAGGATTATATACCGTACAATCTTATAATCCTGTAAGACTGGTCTGCCAAATGAATAAAAGTAAATGCTAAATGTCAAACGAACTGCTAGGAATGAAATGCATATATCTGACGTGTTTCTTTGTGCAATTTTAGTGATGATTTGCTGGAAGACCAGGCGCCGATGAAGCGTCATTCAGACGCAATATTCACAGATAACTACAGCCGCTTTCGCAAGCAGATGGCGGTGAAGAAATATCTGAACTCTGTCCTAACAGGGAAGAGAAGGTATAAAGCACCAGCATGTTGTTGCTTCATGAGGGTCATGCTAATACTCTGAACCAAAGAACATGTTTTGTGGTGTTCAACAACTAAAAGGGTGTTTTTTCCTTTCTTTAGTCAAGAAGACCCACCCAGCATGCAGGAGGAATCGGCTGGCGGAGAGACCTCGTATCGGGAGAGCTACGATGACGTCACTGTAGACCGACTTCTGAATCATATACCGTTGGTAAGTTAGATGGAGACGTGCATTGCTTTGTATTAACAGCAGTCTGGTTTTCAAGTACATTTAAACACTGATCTTTTCTCTTCTAGCCGCTCTGAGGTGGGTTTGAAGGCAAGAAAACAACTCTCCTTGACCATCATAGGTTTTCCATTTACACAGTCTAGTATAGGACATCAGCATACTACTAAAACAACGTGTTGAAGAAAAAGAAAAAGTAAATGTTTGCACTGTACATAGAAATTAAACTTTGATGAGAGATGTTAGCTTTAAGATGTACATAGTGTGCTTTGGCCTTGGAACCGACACGTTTGCTTTGACATGTTTCCTGTAAATTGTAGATCAATAAATGCATTGAAACAAGCCCCGGACTGGTACAATAAGAGAACCACATATTTGGACCTGAAGACTGCTGATTGGACCCGTGAAATATCTCGAATGATGATGTATCTCCGTGCATTTTTGTAAATTGAATTATTTTGTAAGAACAAATATTGATGTTGCTTCTGTGTGAATTCTAACTCTAGAGGGATCATTTGGGTTTGGGAGGGTCAGGCACTGGAAATCTTTATTTTTGCCATTCAAAGTATAATAAAAGGTTGAAGAGCCATACAATTCTTGAGTGCGCTCAATTTCAATGTTGCTCTTGGTCCGGCCACAAGCGTGAAACAAACTTTAACCATGAACTACAATTGATTCATGATCACGTTTGGTTCCACCGACAGCCATTCAGAATAATGGGCCATTACTTTGAAGAATGTTCAAACTGTCTCAATTATATTTCTGTGACTTATGACTGCCATATGTTTCCATCCCTGAAAATACAGATAAATTGGACTTAAGGAGCACAGGTGCAGAGCAAGACAAAAATGTTAAATATTGCATAGCACTCACTTTTTAGAAAAGTATGGTTAACATACAGACAGCTGTAATGATGTATGAGTGTCATAGGATGATTATGATGGAGACAGATCTATTCAGAAGGGTTTGTCCGCTCTCCATTCTTCCACCTAATCAAACAGCAAAAGGTGTGCGATCATTCATTCCTGTTAAAGGTCTTCTCAAAGTCTTATTTTGAGAACTTCCGAAAGGAAACGGTCATTAGTTTTAGCCGGCCTGTGACTAAGCGTCTACAACGCATTAAAGGCAGCTCTGGAAATTTGAATCATAAATGTCAGAGGATATGGAATGCCAAAGAAGCCGTTATATAAGATGACATGCACTGTAAGATGGGACTCTGGTTGCCAAAATTAGCCTTGTCTGTCAAATTAGATTTATTTAGAGTCGTCCTTTGGTCTGGAAAAATGGTTTGGTTTGTACCAATTAAACTATAACTGATATAAATATCTGAAAGAGACAGCTAAGTGGTCAGAGCTCAAAAATAAGGATGGTCCAGTGCCAGTGTTAGAGTGTTTGAGCCAGTCAACAATGCGCTGTCACTAAATATTACGTTTGTTTATCATGTGCATGTGTTTTTATGCATTGCAAGCTATTTATAGCTATGATGAAGGTTTGATATATATAGGTTAATAGTATATATATATAATAGTTAGGTTTGTGTTTTTCTGTTGGAAATATGAATGGAGTTAGGGTTAAAGTGAGGGTTAAAGTTAAGGTTAGTACAAACGTTTGATTCTTAACAGCGTGGTTAAAGCTTAGTTTTAAGCTTAGGTTATTGTCAATGAGTGCCCTATTCTTTTGATTGGTCGGCCAGGTTGTTATTGTTGAAGTGCTCTACTTGGCTTAGGTAACTGAAGAGGCTGTTATGTGTTCTTCTGTGGCCGTGCTTCTCTTAATGCATGTGTCATTTTAGCCTGTCATTTGTAATCCTTGTGGCAGTTGCACATCCCATCTTCCTGGAAATGCCAGAAATCAAACTGAATGGAACAATAACAAACAATCAGAAAAAAACATGCACGAAATATTATGTGTTCGGCCTTAATTTGTCACATTGGATTTATATCATTACAGCACTTACTAGGAGCAAATGCAAAAATGGAGATGACTAATTGAAAATTACTCATGCACCAAAACTTGTATTTGCATAATATGCTCTATTTATATATGAACATTTATTGTTAGCAATGGGCTATATATAACTTCACTAAGAAACATTGTCATTTTTCTAATTCTACACAGTACGTGTGACGTACTTCTGTGCTGTACGTCACACGTAGGCTCACTATTGGCCGACAGTGGTCATGTGTGTGATGCACAAAAAGTATTCTCGTCGCTTGATAAACTTAAAGGAGAACTCCGGCGCAAAATGATTCGTAGTTCTACTGGTCGAGACTGTTTTTCAAAGATGGCTCCTGCCTGTATACGCGAAGTGGACTGTCTTTATAAAGTATCTTCTTATTAAACTGTCTGGACTCTGACAAAGTTCTCAATGCTTCGGTTTTCAGGTAGGGACCCTCATTACGCTACCGTGTTAGTGTGGGGCTATTTTGAGCCTTGTTAGTGGTTTTAACTAGCGATTTTTATTTGCCATGACTCTATGCCCTATAGCGTTATATATTAAACAGTTTTTAGAGATAAAACTCTTTACATTCGATAATCATGAAAACAAATCTCAGAGAACGGTTGACTAGGTAACAATGTGTAATTAGACCAAAGGTTCATTTTGCGCCGGAGTTCTCCTTTAAGATTAAGCCACTTTAGTCACTTGGACTATTTTAACGATGTCTTTAACTTTTCTGGGCCGGCAAGTTTCGATCCCTTAGAAGCTTATGAGGAGTGAGACAGCTCTCAGATTTAATCAAAAATATCTTAATTTGTGTTGCGAAGATGAACGAAAGTCGTACGGGGTTGGAACAACATGAGGGTGGTGATGGCGCAGTGGATAAGACACATGCCTTTGGTGTGAGAGACCCGGGTTCGAATCCACTGTGACACACCAATGTGTCCCTGAGCAAGACACTTAACCCCTAGTTGCTCCAGAGGCGTGCAACCTCTGACATACACTCACCGGCCACTTTATTAGGTACCCCATGCTAGTAACGGGTTGGACCCCCTTTTGCCTTCAGAACTGCCTCAATTCTTCGTGGCATAGATTCAACAAGGTGCTGGAAGCATTCCTCAGGGAGTTTGGTCCATATTGACATGATGGCATCACACAGTTGCCGCAGATTTGTCGGCTGCACATCCATGATGCGAATCTCCCGTTCCACCACATCCCAAAGATGCTCTATTGGGTTGAGATCTGGTGACTGTGGAGGCCATTTTAGTACAGTGAACTCATTGTCATGTTCAAGAAACCAATTTGAAATGATTAGAGCTTTGTGACATGGTGGAAGTAGCCATCAGAGGATGGGTACATGGTGGCCATAAAGGGATGGACATGGTCAGAAACAATGCTCAGGTAGGCCGTGGCATTTAAACGATGCCCAATTGGCACTAAGGGGCCTAAAGTGTGCCAGGAAAACATCCCCCACACCATTACACCACCACCACCAGCCTGCACAGTGGTAACAAGGCATGATGGTTCCATGTTCTCATTCTGTTTACGCCAAATTCTGACTCTAACATCTGAATGTCTCAACAAAAATCGAGACTCATCAGACCAGGCAACATTTTTCCAGTCTTCAACTGTTCAATTTTGGTGAGCTCTTGCAAATTGTAGCCTCTTTTTCCTATTTGTAGTGGAGATGAGTGGTACCTGGTGGAGTCTTCTGCTGTTGTAGCCCATCCGCCTCAAGGTTGTGCGTGTTGTGGCTTCACAAATGCTTTGCTGCATACCTCGGTTGTAACGAGTGGTTATTTCAGTCACTGTTGCCCTTCTATCAGCTCGAACCAGTCTGGCCATTCTCCTCTGACCTCTGGCATCAACAAGGCATTTCCGCCAACAGAACTGCCGCTCACTGGATGTTTTTTCTTTTTCGGACCATTCTCTGTAAACCCTAGAGATGGTTGTGCGTGAAAATCCCAGTAGATTAGCAGTTTCTGAAATACTCAGACCAGCCCTTCTGGCACCAACAATCATGCCACGTTCAAAGTCACTCAAATCAACTTTCTTCCCCATACTGATGCTTGGTTTGAACTGCAGGAGATTGTCTTGACCATGTCTACATGCCTAAATGCACTGAGTTGCCGCCATGTGATTGGCTGCTTAGAAATTAAGTGTTAACGAGCAGTTGGACAGGTGTACCTAATAAAGTGGCCGGTGAGTGTATATAGCAATTGTAAGTCGCTTTGGATAAAAGCGTCAGCTAAATGAATAAATGTAAATGTAATGTAATGTAATTACTGACAGAGTTTTCATTTTGGGGTGAACTAAGGTACAAAGTGCCTTTGTTCCGACACGCACCAGTGTCAGCTTTTGTACCTTTTTTCTGAGAGTGTACTATACCCTAACAGTATACTCTATATTAATTCTGCTAAATACGATGGTCAGTATAGAACAGACTTGTTGCTCTTTTACTAAATCCCAATAGGCCTACAGATTAATTTCTCGATCTTATTTCCACAACTCAACGGGTATGATGTGAATACTCAGGGCATCTTTACAAGACAACAATGTAGCCTACTAAAAAACGGAAATGTTTTTCCTTTGTGCTTTTCACGCACAGACGACAACGTTTGCAAAATGGTCCCCGCAAAAACGACTAAAAACGCTGTATTCTTGTTAGGCCAGTAGTTGGCGATGCCAATAGATTGAACACGTGATACGCATGCGCATGACGTCAGCGCTTTCACAAATTCGCGTTTTTGTTGATTTTCACGGTATGATTATTTTTTTTAAATCACTTTGAAACTTGTATTCAAAGGTTTGCATTTTAGGCCCCCAAAACTTTGTGGTCTTGTAAATGAACGGCCAAAACGCATAAAAAGTTTTCCGTTTTTAGTTGAAAACGGTGTCGTGTAAACGGCCCCTGAGACTCTGGTGACCAGCCTTAATCTTTGGCTATTGAATTGTTGTGCTGCAAATCAGATGCTATGTGATTTGCCCAGGGCTGTTTGGAGAGGGCCAGCTCATTAGCTCTCATTACCGGATGGCTAAATGGGCCTGCTGACCACAGCAGGTAAAAATAGATGGATAGACTCTACACTGACCAGCTCCACTCTGATAATGGGTGCATTACCACTTAAAATGATTCAACATAGAAATGGCTGGCCAGGAACCACTTGTTTTGAGCATTAGTGAGTGTGTCTGTTTGTGCATTGCCCTTTTTTCCACATGCCACATTAGTCCTGTACACATTTGCAGTTTTGTTGCTTTAAGAATTCAGATAATATACAGTGTTACAAATTTTTTTTACAATATTTAGATATTATGTTACTCCAAGGTTCTATCATAGGACATGTCCAAAAACACAAGACATTACCATGGTATCATGTCTAAAACATGGTACTTTCTCATACTT